GCCCCCCCCCCCCCCCCCCGTCACAGCCTAGGAAGGTGACCTGGGTTGAGGAGCACAGTGCCTGGGACGATGGTCATATCCTGTTGTTTATAGGGAACCGTTTGAAGGTCCACGTTTAAAGCCCACCTTTAGGGAACCCTGGGGGGCTCAGTCAGTTAAGTAAGCGTCTAACTCTTGGTCTTGGTTCAGGTCATGATCTCACGGTTTGTGGGTTCAAGCCCCATGTCAGGCTCTGTGCTGACAGCTGGGAGCCTGCTTGGGATTCTCTCTCTCTCTCTCTCTCTCTCTCTCTCTCTCTCTCTCTCTCTTTCTCTCTCTTTCTCTCACTCTCACTCTCTGTGCCCTTCCCCTCCCCTGCTCGTGCCCTCTCTCTCTTTCTGTCTCTCAAAATAAATAAAAAAATTAAAAAAAAAAATACAGGCCAGTTTTCCAGTGAGTGTAGGACAGTATTTTGGAAGGGGTCAGAACATGGCAAGTGGGAGGAAGGAGGTTATGAAGTTGTGTGAGGTGCAATCCCATTTGGGGGAAAAATTAGTCCTTTCTGTCTAGGGTGGGCTGTTAAGTCGGTGAGGCCAGGGCGTTTCTTGTGCCCAGCTCACAAATGTCCCACCTGGCGGGGACTTGGTGCACATACGCATGAAGGAGGGAGGGGGCATCTGCATGGGAAAGTCTGGAACCGTCTAAGCCTAAATGTTCAGGGGAGCTGTCTTCATGTGGTGGGATTAAAGCCCCTTGTTGGTGTTTGCTCATCTAGGTTTTCCAGTCTGTCTACAATGAATGTGTATTTCTTAAGTAACGAGATATGTTTTTAAAACACGAGGGAAAGGGAAGATGCTGGGAGGTTCGGGAAGGTTCCCCAGAAAGTGCTGGCGGGTGGGAGCGGCAGGTGCTGGGCCCTCTCTTGTTGCGGCGGTAGCTGCCCCTGCTCCCTGCCCCCAGGGGCCCCAAAGCCGGAGGCTCAGTTATTATTATTTTTTTAATGTTTCTTTTTGTTTTCTTTTTTTTTTGAGAGCACGTGCTCACACGGGGGAGGGACAGACAGAGAAAGGGAGAGAGAGAGAGAATCCCAAGCAGGCTCTGAGCTGTCAGCGTAGAGCTCGACGTGGGGCTCGAACTCGTGAACCCTAAGATCACGACCTGAGCCTAAACCAAGAGTCTGATGCCTAACTGACCGAGCTGCCCCGGCGCCCCTGGCAGAATACTTTAAGCAGCAGAAATGTATTCTGTCTCTGCTCTGGAGGCCAGAAGTCCCAGGTCACAGGGCAGGCGGGGGTGACTGTTCTGAGGCCTCTCTCCCTGACTTGTAAGTGGCCACCTTAGGTGGGTGGGTCACCTTCCCTCTGGTCGTGGTTGTGTCCCAGTCTCCTCCTCGTACGAGGGTATCAGGCGTATCGGACTAAGGCCTACCCGGAGGACCTCGTTTTAACCTAATGGCCCGTTTCAAAGCCCTGTGTCCAAACGTAGTCATATTCTGAAGGGTCCAACTTATACATTTGGGGAGACACAATTCAGCGTGTGACAGGTGGGATCCTTCTAGTCGTCCGCAGGCCTTTCTGGCTCCAGGGGTTGCAGGATGCCCCCCACACGGGCCTTTGGCTCTCTACCCAGCTCTTTCTAACCCGTGCCGCGCGCCCCTCATTTTCTGACCCGCTCTGCCCCCCCGGCCCTAGCCCTCCGCTCACCCAGTTCTTCTTGGAGTGTGGGGGCCTGGTGCGCACAGACAAGAAGCCAGCCCTGTGCAGAAGTTACCAGAAGCTGGTCTCTGAGGTCTGGCACAAGAAACGGTAAGCGACGGAGCCCCTGGCCCCGGGCAGGTGCGCGGGGCGGGCGGGGGGTTTCCTCTCAGCCCTCAGGCAGGCCCCACCTCTGCCTTCGGCTGTTTGTGGTGCACCCACGCCTCCGCCGTGTATTCTCGTGGCCATCCTGTTGTACAAACTGGGGGAGACTGAGGCTTGGAGCGATTTCCGTGTCTTGCTCAAGGTCACTCGGCTCGAGGAAGGTGGAACTAGCGTTTGAACCTGGCGTTGCCCTGAGCCAGCAACATGAGATCATGTGCGCCGAGACCCAGGCACTCGCCGTGACTGCTCCAAAGTCCCAGCCACCACTGTACACGTGGGAGAGTCTCATGACTGGCGGCTGGTGCTGACGTGGCAGGGGGTTAGCTCCGCGCAAAATGAATTTAAAGACCAGAAGTTTGGATTTGACCCATTTCTCTGGGAAACTTGGGAATAATGTAAAATGAGCGCGTAGAAATAGACTAAGTGTGAGAGCAGATTATAAAGCAGCACGAGGCACTAGAATTCCAGGTCTCTCAGAAGCCAGGTTTGTTTTCTGCGTGTGTCCTTTTTCATGGAAAAATCTAGAAATCTTCACAACAGTTATCTCTGGGTTGGTGCTGTGGGGAGGTGCGAGCCCGCGGGGGCCCGGGGACGGGGCTCCTGGCCAGGTCAGCCGTTCCCAGAGTTAGAGCAGACACGGCACTGAGTCCTGTTCAGCCGCCCTGGCTGCCTGCCCGCCAACCCTCGCGGGGCTGAACAGGCCACGTGTGCTAATGGGCCTCCTCTCCCCACAGCCCAAGCTACGTCGTCCCCACCGGCCTGTCTCACGGGATCAAGTTGGTCAACCCGATGTTCCGAGGCTATGCCCAGCAGGTAGGCCGCCCGAGCTGCGCCGGGGACACGCAGGGCCATCACCGGGCCTGGCTCTGACGCCCAGACCGGCACAGAAAACACCAGCAGCAGCGTGGCGTTACAGGGCAGGTCCCCTCGCTGCCCCAGCCCTTCATGTGTGAGGACGCTGAAGCCCCCTGGGGCCCACGGGTGTCCTCCCCAGCTTGACAGGTACGGAGGCTGAGTCTCAGCCGGGCAGGTCACTGGCTCGGGTCGCAGAGCTAATGCGTGGCGGAGCTGGGGTCTGACCTCAGGCAGGCTGGCTGCGGAGTCCGTGCGCCTCAGCACCGCGTTCAAAGTGGCACACACCTTCTCATCCCCCCGATCGCAGGCAGAATGGCCCTTCTGTTAAAGTAGACCTTTGATAACGAGTTTCTGTAAGCCTTTGGAAATCAGCGATACTTCCCGTTGTGTGAGCTCGTGGGAGCACGGTGAAGCCGAGTGCGGCCACCTGCACGGCCCAGTCCCAAGCTGGGGGGACCGTTGGCGCGGCCGGGCCCCTGCCCCGGATGGCCCCGCGGCCTGGGGTTGCACTGCTGGGCTCGGGGGTGGAGCCGGGCCTGCCTGAATGCAGGGCCGGGAACGGAGCTGCGGTCGGGCCAGGGGTGCGTCCCGCCCTCTCCCTCGGCACCCCCTACCCTGCCTGCCGTCCCTTCCTGGGCTGGGGGCTGCTGGGGGCCCCTCTGCTCACACCCTCAGTTGGGGGATCGCCAGGCTCCTGACTGAGAAGCCCAGCGATGCCTGAACACCACCCTTTTTGGAAAGTGATCGGTTCTCCATGTCACAGTCCACCGTCTACCATTTATTAAGGTGTCCCCTCCCTGCCACCCCGTACAGCCCTGTGTACCCTCACAGAGCTCTCCTGAGATGAGCCCTGTCGTCACCCCGTGCTATAGGTAAGGAGCCGAGGCTCAGAGAGGTTCTGTACCTTGCTCAGGTCACACGGCACATAAGGGCAGGGTGGGACTCAGGCTGAGCTGAGCCATTCCTCGGGCTCTCCGTGAAGGCCCAGGGGGCAGGGCTGTCCGGCTGCTGCCCAGCACGCGCTCACACTCCAGAAGCATCCATGCCTCTGGTTTCTTCGGCATAACATGGGGAACATTTCCGAGTCTGAAACACAGACACAGGCGTGGGCCTCTGTTCATAGCTGGATGATGCTGCCCTGCTTCCACACACGGCTTGAAATTTTAGCAGCGTAAACACGGTACTTGTGTTAAAAGGAAGAACCAGAAAGAAAAGGCGGTGGCGTGTCAAAGGCCCGTTGCTTAGAGGAACCTTTCAGCGCCCCTGATGACGGGACCCACGAATCCTCCCCGCTCCCTGATGCAAGATAAGCTAGCGGTTACCCTCTCTGGTCATCGAGTTTGACACTTGGCCTGAGGAAATCTGTCCAGGGCCCTCCCTTCCCCCCAGAGCTGAGAGGACGAGGCCCTCTCTCCCCCTCTGTGACGTGAGGCTGAGGACGCTTGGCCGGGTGTGGCCGCTGCGTGATCCAGCATCGCGTTGGGCAGGAGTTGGGCCGGTGAGGGGACACTGCGTCTGAAGCCGGGCACTGTGAGGGCGGCGTGGCGCCAGGTGGCTCCAGCTGTGGGGGACCAGCCGCCGCCACCACATTGCGGTGCCTTCTGTGCGTGCGCCGCTCTCGGCGGGGCTGGTGGGCAGGTGCTGGAAACCTTGCTGCCCTGGCTTCCTGCTCGGCTTGGCCTTCTAGTCAGAGGTCAGAATAAAAGCTGTGACTTGAGGCCGAACGCGCCCAGAGCGGCAGCTTAGATGCGTCGTGTCCGTGTCTCCGGGGAGGTGTGATCCTACCTTTTGGAGCCCGTACCCTCGACCATGGCCGCGCTGGCAAGGCCAGCGGGGCGGGCAGGGGAGCTGGCAGAAAGGCCGGGACGCCAGGGAGAACCAGAGGAAGGGTAGGGGACGCAGGCGGCCCGGCCCGCCGGCTGGCATCACCCCTACACAAGTCAGCTGAGCCCTCATGAGCGCAGGCATCTTCTCTGTCACCTTCATCCCTCCACAGGCTCCCTGCCCACCCCAGGGGCCCCTCCTGTAGGCAGCAAGGTGACTTTCGGGGCCAAACGTGGCTCCTTCGCTGTCCCGCACGAGGCGGAGGCGGGGCTGCGGGTGCTTATGAGCACGAACTGGGTGGGGAGTCCCACGGGCCCCGTAGGGACCTCGGCTTTGCCGCTCGACAGCTGCGGGACTGGTTAGGGGTGGCTGAGCCTCTCAGGCCCCGGCGTTCTCGGTAGAGTGGGGGTTGGGACAGAACTGCCACAGAGGCCACCGAGAGGGCCGCTCGGCGCATCTGCACGGGGTACCGCTGGGACTCGCGAGACGGGCCTGCTGGGGTCCTCGGCCGCGGAAGCAGGGAGGTGCCTGCGGCGGGTCCCTCTGCCCCAGGGACGGCCCCGCTGACCCGGCCGCTGCTTCCAGGACACCCAGGAGTTCCTGCGCTGCCTGATGGACCAGCTGCACGAGGAGCTCAAGGAGCCGGTGGTGGCGGCCTCGGCGGCGCTGGCGGAGGCCCGGGACTCCGACTCGAGCGACACGGACGAGAAGCACGAGGGCGACCGGAGCCCGTCGGAGGACGAGTTCCTGTCCTGCGACTCGAGCAGCGACCGGGGTGAGGGCGACGGGCAGGGCCGCGGCGGGGGCGGCCCGCAGGCCGCGGCGGAGCTGCTGGCCCCTGACGAGGCGGGCCGCGCCATCTCCGAGAAGGAGCGCATGAAGGACCGCAAGTTCTCCTGGGGCCAGCAGCGCACCAGCTCGGAGCAAGTGGACGAGGACGCCGACGTGGACACGGCCCTGGCCGCCCTCGACGCCCGGCCCACCGAGGCCCAGCCGCCGTCGCCGCGGTCCTCCAGTCCCCGCCGGAGCCCAGGTGCCAGACAGCCGCGCGGGGACCCTGGCCTGCTTTGCCCGGCACCCCCGAGGCGCGCTGGCCCGCTGGCCTCTCCCACCCCCGGGGGTCCCACCCCCAGAGCCTCAGGGGCGGGGCCGGCCGCGTAGCAGGAGCGGACTCACTCAGCCCTGCGCCTCTGCTGGAAACCGGAGTGAGGACAGGCGTTCTGTGGGTTTGGTGGAGGCCGGGCGGGCACAGGTAGAAGAGGCGTGGCAGGCGCCAGCTCGGTCCCTGGGAGGTGCTGGCGGGTCCTCTTCCTGACCAGGCCCCGCAGTCGGCGCAGCCTGCTTGACCCAGCACGGCCCCCTCTCTGCCCCCAGAGCCGGACAACGAGGCCCACATGCGCAGCACCTCCCGCCCCTGCAGCCCCGTGCGCCACCACGAGGGCCATGCCAAGCTGGCGGGCAGCCCTCCTCGGGCGAGCCCCGTGAGGATGGGGCCGTCGTACGTGCTCAAGAAAGGTTGGCAGGATTGGGCGGGGGGGCTGGGCCACAGGGCGTCCGCACGCGCAGCCCGGGGCCGGGGTGCAGGCCGTGCCATGGGTGGCCTTGGGTGCGCGGAGTTGGCGTCTCCGAGCCCTCCTAATGCCACCAGGGTGCCAGTGGGGGCGCCTGTCTCACTGACAGTGCCCGAGGCGCTGGGCAGGGAACTGTGAACCCCACCACGTGATGCACGTAGGACGCCGCCCCAAGTCCCGGCCTAGCAAGCCCCAGCACCGCCCCTTGCCCCAGACAGGCCGGAGGGGCTGGGCCTAGTCCCGTGCTGTGCCCCCAGCCCAGGTGCTGAGCGCCAGCAGCCGGAGGCGGAAGGAACAGCGCTACCGCAGCGTCATCTCCGACATCTTCGACGGCTCCGTCCTCAGCCTCGTGCAGTGTCTCACCTGCGACCGCGTGAGTGCCCTGGGGGTGGGCGAGCCGCGTGCCAGCCTGCGGTGGCCCTGGTGCTCCTCCCGCAGGTCAGGGGCGGGAGGGGGGTTCTCCCCGTGACGTTCCCCGCCTTTCTGTAGGGGTGGCTCCCGTGTCCAGGGACTGGGGAGCAGACCCCCCGGCCCACGCCTGCCGTTGGGGGGGTGGCTGGGGCTCGGGCTGTGGCTTGTGCTTCTTCCGGGAGGGCAGGCCCCGGGGGTGGAGGCCCAGGCCGACCTTCCGCCCACAGGTGTCCACCACTGTGGAGACGTTCCAGGACCTGTCTCTGCCCATTCCTGGCAAGGAGGACCTGGCCAAGCTGCACTCGGCCATCTACCAGAATGTGCCAGCCAAGCCGGGCGCCTGCGGGGACGGCTACACCGCCCAGGGCTGGCTCGCCTTCATTGTGGAGTATATCCGGAGGTACCCCGCCTTCCCGCCTGCTGGAGACACGAGACCGCCCCGGCCCCGGCAGGCAGCAGGCCGTGAACAGCACAGTCCAGGTGTTTGCAAGGCCAAGGGCAGAGTCCTGAAGGGCCCTGGAAGCTGGAGGCTGCACAGGGGTTGGCTGAGTGGGGCGGGGCGCTTCCTCAGCCACGTGGGGGTGGCCTGGGTTGCAGGGGGCCCGTGGATCTGAAGGCGGGGGACGACAGGGCAGTCACCAGGTGGCATCTAGAAAGGAGGGCGGCAGCCGGAGAGCAGGCCTGACCCCGCGGGGAGAGTAGGGGCAACTTTCCAGAGCCCTTGCCATGTGGCGTGAGGCCCGCTTTACACCCACCTGGCATCAGGAGCCCGTCCCTGCCCAGACGACAGGCCGGTGGGATCGGGGCCCCTTCACATGTGAGAAGACAAGGCTCAGAGAGGAGTCTTTTCATTGTCCCCAAGGACACGGGGCTGCTGGCCGGGGGTCCTGAGTGTTTGCTGCCAGACCTCTGCCCTTCCACCCACCCACCAAGGTGCCCCCAGGTGTCAGTCTGGCCCAGGCCCTGGCAGCACCCCGCCACCCCTTTTCTGTCTCCGTAGGTTTGTGGTGTCTTGCACCCCCAGCTGGTTTTGGGGGCCAGTCATCACCCTGGAAGACTGCCTTGCTGCCTTCTTCGCTGCCGACGAGCTGAAAGGTGAGCGGACCGGGCTGGCTGGGTCAGCATATGGCTGGTTTCTGGAACTCACTGTCAGCTAGCATGCCTCCCCCTCTGCCTGCGTTCTCCCAGCCCTGCCCCCTTGGGGTTTTCTCCACCGGGTTTTCTTTAACAGTTTGGTGCACAAAAATGGTAACTGTGCTTGTATTTTGCGTTTCCTTGGTTGTCGCTGAGCTCGGAGAGTTTCCATAAGTGTATTGGCTGTTTGTATTTCCTATTTTGAAATTTCCTCTTCCTGTCCTTTTCCCATTTTTCCATCGAGTGCTTGGCATCTTACCTTTGGGAAAGCTCTTTCTCTTAAAAAAACCAAACAACTTAGTTGTGGTAAAATACACATAACATAAAATTTACCATCTTAACCATTTTTTAAGTTTTATTTAAAATTTTTTTAAGTTCATGTATTTATTTTTGAGAGAGAGAGAGCTGGGGAGGGACAAAGAGAGGCAGAGACACAGAATCCGAGGCAGGCCGCCGGTTCTGAGCTGTCAGCACAGAGCTTGACACAGGGCGCGAACCCACAAGCTGTGAGAGCGTGCGTGACCCGAGCCCAAGTCAGTCACTTAACGGACCCAGACACCCCTCCTCCCCTATCTTAGCCATTTTTAAGTGTACAGGTCAGTAGCATTCCCTGTGTTCATAATGTCCTGTAATCAATCTCCGGAACCTTTTTGTCCTGCAGAGAGGAAACTCTACCCCTTGAATGACAACTGTCTCTTCTCCCCTGTCCCATAGCCCTGGCGCTGATCATTCTTTCTGTCTCCATGAACTTGGTGACTCAAGGGCCCTCATCTAAGTAAGATCAGATGGTATTTGTCTTCCTGTGACGGGCTCATTTCACTTAACATGATGTTCCCCACAGTTCATCCGTGTTGTGGCGGGTGGCAGCATTTCCTTCCTTTTTAGAGCTGAGTAATAGTCCGTCTAGAGGCTACCTCTTGTTTCCCAGTTCCTCTCTCAGTGGCTGTGTGGGGTTTGCTTCTGCCCCTTGGCTGTTGGGAATAGTGCTGCGGTGAGCAGGGTTGCGCCTCTGTCTCTTCCAGACTGATTTCATTTCCTTCGGATAAATACCTAGACGTAGGATGGTCGGATCCTAGGGTAGCGCCATTTAATTTGTTGAGGAACCTCCATACTGTTTTCCACGGTGGCCACGCCAGTTCCCGTTCCCATCTGTGGTGCACGAGGGATCCCCCCCCACCCCCCGACGTCCTTGCCAACATTTTGTATCTCATTTTGCAAAATCTCTTTTGGAGGGGAGCTATTCTAGCAGGGGTGAGGCGATACTGCACCACGGGGGTGGATCTGCATTTCCCTGGGGTGAGCGACGTTGAGCCTCTTTTCACAGACCTGTTGGCCATTTGTCTGTGGTCTTTGGAAAAAATGTCTATTTAGGTTCTCTGCCCCTTTGTACACAGGTTATCTGGGGTTTTATTTTATTTTGTTTTTGCTATCTGTGTGAATTACTTACGTATCTTGGATAGTAACCCCTCACCTGATACGTGGTCTCCAACTGTTTTCTCCCGTCCTATAGGCTGCTGCTTTATTTTGCAAATTGTTTCTTGTGTTGCGAAGAGCTTTTGAGTTTGCTGTCGGCCCACTTGTTTATTTTTGCTTTTGTTGCTTGTGCTTTGGGTGTCCTATCCAAAGGTCATGGCCAAGACCAGCCATGAAAACATAGGAGCATTTCCCCTATGTTTTCTTCTAGGAGTTTCATGGTTTTGGGTCACATATTAAGACTTTAATCCATTTCAGGGTACTTTCTGTGTGTGGTATGAGATATGGGTCCAGCCTCATTCACTCCTTCACACGTGTGAATGTCCAGTTTCCCCAATGCCATTTACTGAAATGACTATCTTTCCTTCATCAAGTGTTCTTGGCTCCCTTGTCACACAGTAGTTGCCCGTGTGTGCGCAGGTTTATTTCTGGGTCCCCAATTCTGCTTATCAGCCCATGTGTCTTTTTATGCCAGTGCCGTACCCTTCTGATTGCTCTTGGTTCATAGTGTAGTTTGAAATCAGGACTTGGGACGCCTCCAGCTTTGTTCTTGCTCAAGATTGTTTTGGCCATTCGGGATCTTTTGTAATTCCATAATGAATTTTAGGATTGTTTTGTTCTATTTCTGTGAAAAAGGTGACCAGGCTTTTGATAGGGATTGCATTGAATCTATATACGGCTTTGGGTAGGGTGGACGTTTTGACAATATCTAGTATTCTGATCCACGAGCGCAGGGTGTCTTCACATTGATTTGGTCATCATGTAGGAACAACTCAATCTCCCTCTGTCACCCTTACTACCCTCCTGACACCAGACGCATGGTGCTCTTCCCCCGCCAAGCAGTTATGTGACACCAGCCGGGTATTGAGAATTCACCTCAGTCCTGACACTGCCTGGAGCATCGGATCCCAGAGGTCAAGGACTCAGTCCTGTGAGACTTTCCCTCTTCAACGTCACAGGTCCCGGCTATCACTTGTGCTTCTGACCGACTGGCTGTAGATGAAAGGTTCCAACCCTTTCTCCTTGGGTTTGATTACTTTGCTAGAGCCATTACTTAAAATGACTGGTTTATCATAAAAGGATGTCATTCAGGGGCGCCTGGGGGGCTCCATTGGTTAAGTGTTTGACTTCGGCTCAGGTCACGATCTTGTGGTCCATGAGTTCGAGCCCCGTGTTAGGTTCTGTGCTGACAGTTTGGAGCCTGAAGCCTGCTTCAGATTCTGTGTATCCCTCTCTCTCTGCCCCTCCCTCGCTCTCTCGCTCTCTCTCAAAAATAAATAAATGTTAAAAAAAAAAAAAAAATTAACTCAGGAGGAGCCAGATGGCAGAGGTCCACAGGGCAAGACAAGATACTCGGTACCAATAAGGGCAGAGCTCGCTACTTTCCCTTGGTCCCCACGCGTTCGCCAACTTGGAAGGTGGCCAAGCCCCATGCCTTTAGGATGTTTATGGAGACTTCCTCATGCAGGCATGATCAGTCATACACTCCATTTCCAGGCCCTCTCTTCTCTGTAGGACACAGGTGGGGCTGAAAATTCCAAACTTCTTTTATTGTGTAAATTTTTGAACGTTTATTTGAGAGACAGAGAGTGACAGAGCATAAGCAGGAGAGGGATAAAGATTGAGGGAGACACAGATCTGAGGCAGGCCCCAGACTCTGAGCTGTCAGCACAGAGTCCGATGCGGGGCGCGAACCCTCGGACCCTGAGATCATGACCCGAGCTGAAGTTGGCCACTTCACCGACTGAGCCACCCAGGCGCCCCTGGAAATTCCAAACTTCTAATCATGGCTCCGTCTTTCTGGTGGCCAGCCCTAATCCCGGAGCCATCCAGAGTCACCTTGTTAGGATAAAGGTCACCACCATCACCTAGGAAATTCCGAGGGACTTAGGAGCCTGTCAAGAAGTGGGGTCAAAGGGTCAAAGACCAAATAATCAGAACAAATGATGCTTCTAGTGCTCTTACCACTTAGGAAAGCACAAGGACCTTAGGAAGGGTGAGCCAGGAACCTGGGGCAGAGGCCAGCAGCTGTATCTTCTGTGAGCTCACGGCCATCTTGTCGGCGTCTCTCATCAACCCCATATGGTTTCTGTGTATGAGTCTTGGTTAAAATTATTCCTATGTGTTTTATCATCCTTGACACAATTGTAAATGGGATTGTTTTCTTGATTTCTCATTCAGATATTTCATGGCCAGGATACGGGAATGCTGCTGATTTTTGTATGTGGATTTTATGTGCTGCAACTTTACTGAATTCATTTGTAAGCACTAACAGTTTTGGGGGAGCTTTTAGTGTTCCGACATGTAAGATCATGTCATCTGCATGCAAACAGTCTTACCTCCTTACCTCCTCTTTTCCTTTTTAGACGTCTTTGTTTTTGCTGATCTAGCTAAAGGCGTTTTCTATTTTACTGTTCCTGAAAACTGACTCTTAGTTTCCCTGATTTTTTTTCTATTATTTTTTCTCTGTTTCACTTATTTCTTCTCTAACCTCTCTCATTTTCTCCCTACTGCCAAGTTTGGGCTTAGTGTATTTTTCATTTTCTGATTCGTCGAGAGGTAGTCAGGTTGTTTGCGATCTATTTGTTTTCTTAATGTTGGCATTGATTGCTATGAAATTCCCTCTTAGAACTGCTTTTGCTGCATCCCGTACATGGTGGTCTGTTATATTTTCATTTTCATTTATTTTGAGATACTTCCTGAGTTCCCTTTTGAATTTTTCTTTGACCCATCAGTTGTTGAGGAATATGTTGTTGGAAGTCCACATATTTGTGAATTTTATAGTTTTCCTCCTGGTAACGGTTTCTAATTTCATACCACTGTGGTTGGAAAAGACACCAGGCAGTATATCCATCTTCTCAGATTTGTTCAAGTTTGCTCTGTGCCCAGCCAAGGATCTGTCCCGGAGAATGTGCCGTGTGCACTTGAGAAGGTGTATTCTGGTGCTGTTGGATGGAATGTTCCGTCTATGTCTGTTAGGTCCATTTGGTCTGAAGTCCTTCAGGTCTGGTGCCCTTATTAATTTTCTGTCTGAGTGATCTGCCCAGTGTTGAAAGTAGGGTGTTAAAGTCCCAACTGTTACTGGGTTGCTGACTCTTAACTCCCTTCAGTCGTGTTAATATTCGCCTCATGTATTTAAGTCCTGTGGGGTTGGATGCATAGTTTTACAATAATTTATCTCTTCTTTTTGAATTAACCCCTTTATCACTACACAGTGACCCTCTCCATCTCTCATAACAGATTTTGACTGAAGGCCTGTGTTATTTGTATAGCCACCTGTGCTCTCTTGGTTCCCATTTGCAGGGACTGTCTCCTTCCATCCCTCTCTCCCAGCCTGTGTGCCCTTAATGCTGAAGTGAGTCTCTTGCAGGCAGCCTATCGGGTCGTGTTTCACCAGCACAAATCATTACGTCCACTTCTGTTCCCATTTCCTGTCCCCGCTAACCGTTGTCTGCATTTACTGCTCTAGGTGACAACATGTACAGCTGTGAACGGTGTAAAAAGTAAGTGTGTGTGTTCCGGGGCCTCTCCCCAGCTTCCCCTCCTGACCCCTGTGTCCATCTGTGTTCTGCGTACTTGCCGGGCTCTCCCAGGGAGTTTGACTCTGACCTCACGGATATGACCCTGTCAGGAGGGTGTCCCTCTGCCCCCACACCGGGACGCTCATCGCTTCTCACCCGTTCTCCTTGCCAGGCTGCGGAACGGGGTGAAGTACTGTAAGGTCCTGCGGCTGCCCGAGGTGAGTGGGGCAGTCCCCGCGCCCCCCCACCCACCCCCGAACCTGCTTCCTTCCTGAAGAAGCCCAGGGCGGGGGGAGTTGGCTACTTTGGAGGGGGGAGTCCCCTGCTGGGAAGGGTCTGCTGGCAGGTGACTTGGTGCCTCCCTCAGCTCCTCCTGCCCTGAGCTGCAAGGCGGGCGTGGGGTGGAGGGTGCCACCCTGGGGAAGGCGGGTATGCGGGGAGGGATGTGTCTGCCATAGTGTCCCCGTTTGGGTGGGCTTTCTGAGGGAGTGGGTCTGAATGGGCCCTGAGCGTGGGGATTGTGTCAGCCTCGTGGGGGAAGAGTGGGGAAGGAGCAGGTGGGCAAAGCTCTGAGGCAGGAAGGGGCTCGACCGAAGCCTGGAGCAGGGAGGAGTGATGCACGAGGTGTGGGAGCTCAGGGCCGTGCCCAGCAGGTTGGGGACGCCGGTGTCGGCAGCCAGTGCCATCGGCGTGGCCCTGCCATCTCATGGGCCTCTGCTCTGCCTTGTGGGGAGCAGCTCAGCTCCCATGCGGGGCTCTTCCCTGTGTTCCGGGGGCTCAGTGGGAGTGACCCGTCCGCCTGCCTGGACCTCTGGAAGGCTCTAGCTGCTCCATTCCTTGTTTTTGCCTGGATGGCAAGACCCGAGTGGACTGAACAGTGGGCTAGTGGGTTTCCCGGAGCCCAGGCCTGAGACCCCGCCTGGTTGCCAGGGCTCACAGGGCCCTGGCTGGCCCCGCCTGGAGGCACCGACACCTGCCCCCGGTCCCCCCAGATACTGTGCATCCACCTGAAGCGCTTTCGGCACGAGGTCATGTATTCGTTCAAAATCAGCAGCCACGTCTCCTTCCCCCTCGAGGGACTTGACCTGCGTCCATTCCTTGCCAAGGAGTGCACGTCGCAGATCACCACCTACGACCTTCTCTCTGTCATCTGCCACCACGGCACGGCGGGCAGTGAGTCTGGCCACCCCTGCCCCTCCCTGTCCCCTCCCTGTAGGACCCCCGTGACGGCCCGCCCCTCCCGCCGCAGGTGGTCACTACATCGCTTACTGCCAGAACGTCATCAACGGGCAGTGGTACGAGTTCGACGACCAGTACGTCACCGAGGTCCATGAGACAGTGGTGCAGAACGCCGAGGCCTACGTCCTCTTCTATAGGTGGGCCTGGGGCGGGTGGCGGGTCTGGTGACCTGTGGGCCGGGGCTTCTGTCCGGGCATGGGTGGAGCCTGGAAGGGTGCTAGGCCTGGGCAGCAGGGGTTTCAGTCTGGAAGAAAGAGCCCTGCGGCCACAGCGGGAAAGTAGGAGGCCCAGGAAGTTGAGTTTGGGTCTCCTCGGGTGGTCCCGTGGGAGGGGATGGTGGCAGGAACTCTGGCAGGGGTGGGGCTGCTGAGATGCTGGGATTGGGGGTGGGGAGGCGGGGTGAGGGCGGGGGGGAGGGGGGCTCTGAACACACCCCTGGCAGGTGCGGCTGGCGTCCCTGCATGGAGTGAGCCCAGGCACAGCTGTCGGTAATTCTCCTGTCCTGCCCCCGCCCTGCCTCACCCCTGCCCCAGGAAGAGCAGCGAGGAGGCTGTGCGGGAGCGGCAGCAGGTGGTATCCCTGGCCGCCATGCGGGAGCCCAGCCTGCTGCGGTTCTACGTGTCTCGCGAGTGGCTCAACAAGTTCAACACCTTCGCGGAGCCGGGGCCCATCACCAACCACACCTTCCTCTGCTCCCACGGAGGTGAGGCCGCCTCCCCTGCGGTCGGGGTCTGCGGGGCCCGCAGCTGAGCCCCCAGCTCTCCCTCCCCCCTCTCTTCCTCCCCAGGCATCCCGCCCAACAAATACCACTACATCGACGACCTGGTGGTGATGTTGCCGCAGAACGTCTGGGAGCACGTCTACAGCAGGTTCGTGCCCGGCCGCCTCCTGCGGGAGGGCTGCCTGCTCCTGTCTGGGCCGGGCCCTCGGCGGGGCAGGGAGGGAGCTCGGGGACAGAGGCCCTCCGCTCGGGCGGAGCAGCTCGGGAGCGGCTGCGAGGGCCCCTCTGGCGCGTGACCTGCAGGGAACGAGACGCCGGCGGGCGTTCCGCCGGAAGCTTCCGGTCAGGAGGGGCAGAAAGCTGACTGGAGCAAAAGCAGGCGCGTTGGTCCCTGTCACGGATAGCCCGCGAGGGCTGGCTCCGGGCCGGCCCCGCTCAGGTGGCCTTCAGGCCCAGGTGGCTCTGCAGACACGTGGGCAGGCTGGGTGGTGACCGGCGCGCTCTCACATGGGCCGGGAAGGCCCCTTGCAGACAGGCTTTGCCCTGTCCGCTGGCGGGTCAGGTGCGGACTGCGCCTGGTTGCAGGTGGGTGGGCTGGAGCCCCCCAGGGAGATGTGTCCCCGTATCCCGGGGGGCCCACCCTCCTGCCTGCAGAGGGACAGCCTTCTGTCTCCCTTTGACGTCCTCAGGGTCTGGTCGCGTGGGCTCTTGGGCACAATGGCTTCTCACCAGCAGCTAAGAATCCGTCCTTTAGCCAGTAACCATCTATCTGTGACCCACCTGTGCAGGGGCAGGCCCTGTGCAGGGGTGGGGCCGGCGCACAGGGACAGAAAAGTGAAGGGCTGTGCCCCGGGCAGCCAGGGTCAGGGAGCCTCCCCAGAGGAGGAGAAACGCAGCATGTGGAGGGCAGCAATGGCTCTTTGGCAAGTTCTGCTGCCTCGCCTACTGGAAGGCTTCCCTCAGGCTCGCTCACTCTCTCTCTCTCTCCCTCCCCCCTTCTCCCCCCCGGGTGCAGGTTTGGGGGCGGCCCTGCTGTGAACCATCTGTACGTGTGCTCCATCTGCCAGGTGGAGATAGAGGCACTGGCCAAGCGCAGGCGGATTGAGATCGACACCTTCATTAAGGTGCGTGCGGGCGGGGGCAGGGCGCCTCTAGCCTCTGCTGGGGACACGTGGGGATTTGGGGACTGAAGAGCCGTCTGCAGTTGGCTTTTATTTGGAAAACACGTTCTGTGGGGTGAACAGAGTGGCCAGAGGGTTAAAAAAAAATTAAGATTTTATCAGCAGGAGGTCTGGGTTCAGGAGGCTCGGGTCCAAGTGCCTGGTGTGCTGTTAAGCCACGGGCGCTGTGGCTTGGGGCTGGATGGTTCTTTGTCGTGGGGGCTGGGCTGCGGGTGATGGGACAGTGAGCATCGCTGGCCTGCTCCATACCAGCGACGTGAAAGTTATCGCCTGACACTGGCAGTGTCCCTTCCCCCTCCCATTGAGAACCACGGGCTCTTCCAACTGACACAGAGAAGTGTCTTAAGTGAGAAAATCAAGTGGCAAAGCAGGACCCAGGACGATCCCGTGTAGGAAAGGGGCTCGTGCAGCAGAGGCAGGCGGGTTTGGGGGCCGGGTCCCCGGGCACACCTGCACCAGGGCTGTTCAGAGCGACAGGGGACTGTCCGTCGTTCAGTAGCAGGCGCGTGGGTGAAAGACGTTAAAGGATACTAAGCTCTGCGCCCACGAGAAAATGACGCATCAGAATCGTTAATGAGGGAGCAAAGGGTCATGTCATGAAGTGGGGGATCTCTGAGGGGTTAAAGTCCTTGCAGAGAGATTGGAGCGGCGGGGCTGTGAGGGCTGTTCCTCTGAGCTCGTCTGGGGGCCCTGCGGCTTCCACCTGGAGTATGTGGTTTGTCCTCAGAGTCGAGGGTGTAGGTTGGCGGGGTGCCAGGGCTGTCCGGCTGACCCCCCTCTCTGCTCCCCTGGCCGGTCCAGCTCAACAAAGCCTTCCAGGCCGAGGAGTCCCCCAGTGTCATCTACTGCATCAGCATGCAGTGGTTCCGGGAGTGGGAAGCCTTTGTCAAGGGCAAGGACAATGGTGAGTGGAGCACGGGCCTGGCGCTCACCCTCCGCGAGGGCCCTGGGGCTTCAGATATGCTGGGAGGGACCCGGGAGGTGGCTGAGGGGGTGCCTGGGGTCTGTGGGTACCCAGCAGGTTTGGGGTGCCGCTCCTGTAGGCGAGCGCCCGCCTCCCTGCATCAGCAGAGAGCACAGGTATTCTTCCAGCCCAGGCTCTGGGGGCGCTGCTCCCACCAAGTGCCGGGCCAGACCACCCAGTACCCTGGGGCCGGGCCCTCTTGCTGCAGCAGGATAGCAGCCGCGTTGCTCTGCCCCTTCCCTCCCGTTCCCCCGTCCCTGTGGTGCCCAGATGAAGCCATTCTCTTGCTCTAAGTCCTAGGTTTTAGTGGATAAATGGCTTCAAGCCATTACCAGGCAGCTCCCAGAGCCCCAGCGGGGCCTAAGCCCTGGCTTGCCTGCAGCCGCCCTCACCACCCTTGGGCCCTACACTTGGGCTCCCAGACTGGGGCTTGGAGACCTGGCAGGGTCTGTCGGCTGAGCCTGGTGGGTTCTGGGAACGGGACATTGGCCTTTTCAGGGCATAAGCTCTGGCCAGGCCCCAGGGAGAGGAGAGGAGGGACCTCATTGCCATCCAGCCTGTACCAGGCAGCAAGGTCCCAGGGACCTCTGAGGTCTCCCTCGTGTTGCCGGAGGCCATCAGGCTTGGCTCCGATGGAGAACGGGGATTGGAAGCTGCAACCCCCGCCCTCCCCGGACGTGGGCCGTGGCCACACCTCCTGCCAGCTCTCACCTGGGCTGTTCCTTCCCCTGTGTCTGTGGCCGGCTCCCGGACCAGGTGCTTGAGGATCCCAGGAGGTTTTGGGAAGTGTGCTTAGTGCCTGGCAGCTGCTGCCCACAGGGTCTGAAACTAGTCCCCAAGTCCCTGAGATCCAGGGATGCTGCTCATCCCTCTGGCTCTCCGACTTTCCTGAATGAGCATCTGGTGCTCGGGCACCGGCCCCAGGAAGGACGTCACACTGAACGCACCCCCGCCCCCCCACCTGCTGAGCCCCCAGACAGCTTCTCTGGAGCCATGGGTGTTGGAGTCGAGCCTTGAGAATGCCTCTTACCTGTTGAGAGGAGGGGCCTGGGGTTTCTTCCTGCTGCTGCAGAGGCCCCGAGGCGCTGAGCCTGCGCGTGTCTGTTCCAGAGCCCCCCGGGCCCATCGACAACAGCAGGATCGCACAGGCCAGAGGAAGCGGCCACATCCAGCTGAGGCAGGGTGAGCCTCCCAGGCCATCTTCCCTTCGGGACCTGCACCTCCCAGGGCCCCCACTGCCTGAGACCATGGCTTTGTTAAGGGGGCGGGGGGCAAGCGCGAGCCCAGCCCCGACCCGGTGCCGTCTTGGGCCTTGCAGGAGCTGACTACGGGCAGATTTCGGAGGAGACCTGGATGTACTTGAACAGCCTATACGGTGGCGGCCCCGAGATCGCCGTCCGACAGAGCGTGGCCCAGCTCCAGGACGCAGACAGCTTGCATGGGGAGCAGAAAATCGAAGCCGAGACCCGGGCCGTGTGACTTGGTGGGCCTGTCTGTAAGTCCCCTCCCCTTCCAGAGAGCCTCCGGGTCCCTGGCGTGTTGGAAGGGTGCGTCCCTGAACGCACCTTCCGTGAGGCTGATTGGAGAAACCGTCTCGTGGTCCCCGCTGGGCTGAGTGCCCCAAGTGTCCCCACAGGCCCCTGCCTTCACCCTCCTCCTAGCGGAGGGCACATTTGTACCCAGAAGATGGGCCGGCAGCCGCTTCGGAAACCCAGATGTGTAAACAGGCAGAAAAGTTGTTTTGGTTCAAGCGAGTCGTGCTGCCACCAGGAAATACATCCATCGCAGGCTGTTCAAACGGCCGAGGCTCTGCGACGTGCGTTAACTTGGGTCTTCGTGTCTGCGTGTCACAAGCGTCGTGTCCCCAGCCTGCCCTCGCACTAGCTCGGGCCCAGCTTTTGTACCTGGGGCCCATAGTCAGGGGTGCAGCCGACCGGCCCCCAGACTCACAGCCCAGAGCTGGGGAGCAGGGAGCCAAGGGTGAAGGTTGGGGTGCAGGAGCCAGGTCCTCCCTGGGACCCACTTTGCCCAACCCAGTGTCACAGACAGGCTCCGGAGTCCCTCACTGCGCCCGGCATTTCGCCTGCACACTAAAGACTCTGGACTCATTTGCGGTTGGGACCCAGGGCAAGGGTAGGATTTGTCAGTAGAGATAGTTTCTGGAAGAAGCTTCTTGAAGAAGCTATCTCCCCGTGCAGCCCAGCCGCCCCCACAGATTAGCTGGAGCTTGCCCCCCGCCCCCCAAACCAGATGATGACACAGAGGTCCTTGCTGTCACTGTCTCTTATGGCTCAAGCACCTTCCCTGGGGGCTGGCGTTAGAAAAGACAAGCTACCCCTTCCTGCCCGGGCTGTGTCATCCCTGCCGCAGAAGTGTGTTCTGGATGGTGAGCCAGTGAGGCCATGGCTGGGGCAGTAGGGGTGAGCATGGGGGTCCCCAAGGCCAGAGCGTGTGGGGGATGGGCTGGGGTCCCGGGACCAAAGCCCCACATGCTGTGGCCTTCAGTCTGTAGAAGCGGACATCGGCGGAGCTCCGTCAGGCCTTCCAGGCAGAGCCCCGCTGCTCTCGAAGCTGAAGCTCGTAGCTCGCTTCTGCCGTCTCTGCCTGGCTCCTTCCTTACCGAGGCAGCATGTGATCAGAGAGCCAGCCGCCGTGGAATCCCCTGACGTTTGTCACAGCCTTTAGAGAGCCGCTGCAGAGCCAGGCGGCCGCACATCATGCTGTTGGTGACTCACAGACTCCACACCGGGTTGTGAACTCGCCCAGGTCTGCGCGGCCTCATTTGTGTTCAGAATGTCGTAATAAATACACACGTGTCCCCCACAGCTGCACTGTTGTCTGTGCATCCGCAACCGGGGGAGGCAGTGCAGAGCCGGGTAATCAGCGTCACAGAAACCCCCTGGTCCGGCCTCTGCGTGGCTCTGAAACTAGGGTGTCCAGAAGCCTCAGGAGCGGAAGGGGAAGGAGAGGCTGTGCACACGTGCCGCCGAGTCCTGGACCCAGAGAAATGGGGCCATATGCAGGGGGTGAGGCCAGTGCATCCCACAGGCCGGCCCCCTGGCACTGTGCCTTGGCCACTCGAGCAACCCCGCACCAAGCAGGGGGCGCCCTCCCTGGGCCAGACAAGGCTGCCTCGTGGCCTCGGGGACCTTCCCCTCAGCGGACGGCAACGTTGGCGCCCTCATCACAGCATCACGGTTGCCAGTGTCCTGCATGGGGAGCCCCTGACGTTTAGTGATGCTCGTGTTTTATTCCCCCCTCCCCCCCCGTTTGGGTTGGTTTCGTTGATACTTCTTGGGGTTTGGTGGGAAGAGAATTGGAGACTTTTGTGTTACTTGAAACACACATACGTGTGAAATCCCATCAGACGTGAGTGTGCATAACCGTGTTCACGCCGAGAACAGTTCCTGGCTGTTACCATCACTGGCCCCCATTCTGCCGAGGGTCCCCCCTGAGCATGTCTGCCACCTCACCCACCGCAGAGGTAGGGCCTGGCCTCAATGTCTGTGCACGCCTGCGTCTAAGCAGTGCTTCTAGCCTTGCTCACATCGGAATGTTGTCTACACAGAATTCCATGATGTAGATTTCATGATTGACTTTTCTCATTTGCTGTGGAGGATGAGCATGAACCAGTTCTGTCTGGTGGATTGATCTGGAGGTTTGGAGACTCCCATTCGCGGTACTGCAGGAAGGTGGGGGAGAAATAGGGAGGCACCACTTGACCCTAAAATGCCTTACGTTGTCCCTGAAGCACGAGGCCGCCCCTGCGTCCCAGTTGGTTACACGTCTGTCTCTTGGTTTTGGCTCAGGTCATGTTCTCACAGTTGGTGAGATTGAGCCCCAAGTTGGGCTCTGTGCTGACAATGTGGAACGTGCTTGGGATTCTCTCTCTCCTTCTCTCTCTCCCTCTCTGCCCCTCCCGCACTCACGCACATGTCTCTTTCAAAATAATCTTAAAAAGAAACACCAGGTTTTAAGTGGCTCAGCCAAACTTAGGTGCTGGGGTCTGGAGACAAAGTAGGAAACCGTAGATGTTCACCTCACGGACTGTGTGGGGATGTGAAGCAGCGGGCAGCAGGGGGGAGCCCCCTCCTGTCTTTTCCCCCTCCCTGCATGCACCCCTTGTCGGGCTCCTCCTTCAGCTGGGCCCGGGCCTCATTCCAGCAGCGCCTTTTAGAGGAGCCAGAGCCACCAGCCCAGCCTGGCCCAGGCCAGGGGAGTGTGAGGGCCAACGATAGGCCTTCCTGCCTGCCCATGCTTCTCACAAACCGCATCTGCAATGCGCTGGCATGGCACAGGCCACCCAGAAAGTGTAGCTTCCTACCTTCGTACCTTCGTGCTCATTGGAACTCAGCGCAAACATAAATGACTCTGTGGGTCTTACACCACCTCATTTTGAGCCCCACAGTGCCCTGGGGGAAGTGAATGGTGTTTTGAAATCAGGCCTCCTTGAGGGATCACTGTGGGGAAGGAACAGGTTTGGGATGCCCTCAGGGTGAGCTATGGAAAGGGCAGGCAGTCCAGGCCCTTCTGGAAGGCTGGAAGACTCGGTGCCTTCTGGAAGGCTGACCCAGGGGTGCGTTAGGGTTCCGTCTCCAGCCTTTCCTGGGATCTGACCCCAGTGGGCAGCCTGGTGTCTGGGGAGTAGGGGTGGGCACAGGGTTGGCCTGAGGCACTGAGGGTATGCATGCTGCCAGGGTGCCTGATCCTCCCCGCCCCCCCCCGCCCCCCCAGGCAGGGTGCTGCCCCGGATTCTTCTGCCCCTGCTGCTTCCTTCCAGGGGCCCAAGAGCTGATGAGGACGAGATCCCTGTCTCCCCTCCCGCTGCTTTTGGCCCCTTAGTGCAGACAGAGGCACACGGGAGCCTTTCTCAGTTTCTACTCTACGTTTTGTGGCCTAGCATCACCCCCCAGCTGAAGGGGGGGGTCACTTAAGTGAAGGTCACTCACTGCACCCTCTGGGCAGGTAGCATTGAAACGAGGGCTTAATGGGGGTGCCTGGGCAGCTCAGGTGGTTGAGCGCTCAGCTCCTGGTTTTGGTTCAGGTCACAGTGTCCCGGTTCATGGGATCGAGCCCCACATTGGGCTCTGCGCTGATGGCGTGCAGCCTGCTTAAGATCCTCTCTCTTTCTCCCTCTGCCCCTCTCCTCCACTCATGTGCTCTCTCAGTCTTTAATAAAAATAAAAAAAGTTTAAAAAATAAAAGGAATGAAATAACACACCAGGGCCTCACGGATGTAAACACAAGGTGGCTGCGGAGTGCCTCTCCACAGACTTCTCACTTTATTTTTTTTTATATTTTTATTTATTTCTAGGAGAGAGAGAGACAGCGTGAGCAGGGGAGGGTCAGAGAGAGAGGGAGTCACAGACTGAAACAGGCTTCAGGCTCCGAGCTGGCAGTCAGCACAGAGCCCGACGCGGGGCCCGAACCCACGAACCGCGAGATCATGACCTAAGCGAAAGTCGGACGCTTAACTGACTAAGCCACCCAGGCGCCCCAGACTTCTCACTTTAATCCCGGGTCTGAGAGGGTGCTGACCACAGGCTTCCTGCCTCGGCTTCATGGAAAAGAACAGCAGAGGCCAGGGAGGGGAGGGGAGGCCTTCTCCAGACGGAGTCAGGACTTTCCCGCTGCTCAGGTCACAGGGACTCATGGGGACGTTCGCCCCAGAAAGCCAGGCCAGCCTCGTCCTGCAACTGACAACTCCAGAGATCTCTTCTGCTTTGAGAGGGGGGAACCCCTGAGCCCCTCTGACTCCGCCCACCTCCATCGCATTGCCGGTTAGCGGTCAGCCCTCCGTCCCCCCCTTCCCCTCTCCCCACCCCTTCCCGTGTGTCCTTCCTCTGATGCGATGACGCTCTCTCCCGCTAGGGGTCGCCCCCGCCTCTGCGGCTTCGCTGCCAGGCCTGGGTGCGGCCAGCGCCGGTGAGGCTGGGTGATGGCCCCGCCGGCCCAGCGAGGCCTGGCCCTGCCCGGAGGCTCCCAGCCCTACCGCAGCAGCCTGGCCGACAGGTCTGCTGCCTTCTGAGTCAGCAGCTCTGGCTTTAAAGTCCAGTCACATCGGCGTTGTGGGAGGAGGCCAAGGCCCAAGCGATGGCTGGCCTCTCATTGGTGGCCTGACCTCCCACCCCTCAGCCGCTTGGCGTCTACAAGGCTGCCCCTGCTCTCTCGCTCAGTTGTGCTTGGTGTGGCTCCTGCTGTTTCACTCCCTCCCGAGAACGAGAAAGTTCTCCTAAAATGGATCTGTGGAGACTTAGGGCCTAAAGAGGTGTGGGCACAAAGCACTGTACCCCCCCTCCCTGCAGATCCTGGGGTGGGATTCTCAGTGCCCATAGGGAAATAGCCTCCTGCTGTGCACATCCTGCGGGTGAGGCCATGTCTCACACGGTCTGCAGCTGCACAGAAGCCAAGCTAGCAAGCCGGTGGGCTTGAGCACTGGCCACAGCATGTGCCCCATTTCTCCAGGCCTCCCCACTGCCACACCAGAGAGTCCCTGAAAACCCAAAGTAGCTGCCGGCTGCAAGTGCATGAAAAAGAAACTTCCTGACCCTAAAGGAGCCTCCCCAAAGCCCTGGACTAAATCAACCTGAATCTCTCATCACCACGATGTCCTGGACAGACAGCTTTTCCCCCAGCGGGTGGGGTGGTGGGCAGAGTGAGCCGGGCCCCAGTTTGATGGCTACGTGACTGGTCTTGGGTTCACACAGTAAATCAGCGAGGTGCAGACAGGCCCAGCCGCCTCCGCCTCCAGCCCGGGGGCCCTGGCTGCTTCCGGGACCCAGGCCACGCCGCCGCCGAGCAACAACCACCGCCGCCGCCGAGCAACCGAGCAATAAAAACAGCCCCGCAACAGCGTAACTGAGGTTATACTTTTATTTAACATTTAAGAGGGTTAACGTATAGTTACAAGGTCAATATAAGCCTTCCAATGGAAGCACTTTATTTGGTTTAATTCCATCTCCAGAGACACATGGCGGTTCCAGAACCTTCACAACGGCAATGGGCCGGTACAACACTTGAGATGCCTCCAAAGCTCAGAATTAGTGCCATACACACAAGTAAACCAAAAAGTTTAAAGGTGCTCAACATCAGGTTAAAACAGAATTTTGAATCACTCTCTAAAGTTTTGTTTTGTTTTTCTTATTTGTTTTTTGTTTCCGATGATAGAAGCACGGGAGTCAGAGGCATGAGGATGTATGAAACCCAAGACTTCTGGAAAAATACTTAGCATCGATGTAACTTTTATTTTTTTTTCATGTTCAGTGAACTTTCTCCTGTAATTACAGATGTCACCAGAAGGCGTTAGGGGGGCCTCTGTGCTACAACTCACGTGGCCTAGCCTAAAGCCTGGAAGATTCGAAGAGAGCGTGATCAAAACCCAAAGGAAAATCCCACTATGGCCTTCCATACCTTTTTATCCTGTAAAGGAAAAACTGGGTAAATGAAAAGTTCCTCTCTTTCATTTTGTTTTTAGGTCATTATCAGGGCAGGCTCTTTAAAACTTAGTCATTCTTACAACAATATTCTAGCAGAGAAACGACAGGCATCGGGGATGAGGTGGGGGAGACGAAGAAGCAGATGGGAAATTCCACGTCTCTACGCTATGTGAACTGGTCCATACGAATATATAGATGAGTTCCCAGTAAGATTCCCAGAGTAAATGATACATCTCAACTATCAGATAATAACTTCTTTCCTTCAATGAACTCAGCCTCACAGCGTAAACCCCAAGGTGAACGCTGAGAAGCGCGTACGATCCATTCTTTTTTGGATGCAGATGATACAGAAGGAAGGAAGGGGAAAAACAGCGCAGGGTGTACAAGTAACGAGCATATTGTGTACTGGGTTTAACAGACACGAAAAGAACAAATCACTGCGGCTTATACTGTATTCCCTATGTTGCAAGAAATTAATCTATCCTGACCCGGAATGTGAAAGATGCAATGCACATGCATTACTGAGGCTCTAAAATCGATTTAAAAAACTCTTTAGCATCTTTTGTTGAGTGGAGAGCGGTCAGCGTGGCTTGGTGAGATTCAGAAGTTCCTGGAGAGACCTGGTCCCCTGGTTGATAGAGGAGCCCTCCGTGCCCCGCCCCGCCCCACAGGACTGCCCAGACTAACAACACAACTGTAGGTTTGCAGGGACACAGGGGAGACCCCCCCCCCCTTTGGCAGCCTGGCTGCCGTGTCACGTGCCAGGCTGGCCCTCTCACGAGACTGAGGAGTTGGCCACATGTTGGCTGCCGCCGTGGGGACCGGAGACCTGCTGCCAGTGTGGCAACCTTGAGACAGCCAATGGCTGCAGCCTTTCTGGCAGTGATCTTCAGCCCAAGGGCATAGCCCCCTTTAGGGAGAAAGACAGACAGAAGCACAGAGAGAAGGGGAGCAGCTCATGCTCTCTTGCTGGCTGGCCTTTAAACCCAAAGCCACTTCCTCTTGAGTCACTCACCCCAGGCATTTGCTTGCTGGAAGTTCCTAGTCGCCGAGCCACGCTGAGGGTGGTGTGTGGTCACCCCCAGTGTGCCGAGAGGAACCATTTTTTTGGCCACTGAACACAGGCCCAAGCCCTTAGCACCTGTCGTTTCTGTCCCTTTCCCTTCAACTCCTATTAGACATCCTTGTCTTAGATTCATAAATGTCGAGAAGAATTGAGGATGTTTGAGGTGACTACCTAGTTACCAAAAGCCAAAGGAGAGAAGAGAGGCCCGATTTCCTTCTTGGGCTTCCGGATGGTGTCTCGTTCACAGAAACTCACAGCCAGTGATTGCTCTCGGCTGTTTCTGCACCAGAAAAGAAGGAACGCTACGCTGCTCTAAGGCATGAGTGGCCACAGGCTACATGGCCTCACGTTTTCCCCCAAGGATCCATAAGGGGCAGGAAAGTTCGCTCCAAAGGCAAACTTAATCCAATCTATGTGGCCCGCAGAACACGTGAGGATATGCAGAAGCTGCAGCCACAGGATCACCTGAAGGACCACGAGCAGCACTGGGTCTTTGGTGAGGAAAGCGCTAAAATCCTAAGACGCAAATCTCGGAATTCACGGGAAGACGGGAATTTCCACTTTGCAACGAGCTAACACCGAAGTGAGACCCTCGTTCATAAAGTGCCGGGGTCCACGGTTCTCATTAATGAGGGCAACAACAGGGAGAAGGCAGGCCCGGCCCTTTTAGACTCCGTGGGAGGTGGACTCGCGCTTTTGGGCGCAGCCTCCGAGCTGGGATAGGACTTTCAGTCCAGACCTTTCCAGGCCCCTGAGCACAGGCCTCAGATAAAAATGTGTGTGTGTTTGATGAGCGTGCGCAGAGGGGGGTGCGTACATGTGTGTGTGTGTGCCCCCACGCCCACCATGGACGCTCTCGGGCCATGAAATGTTGGGCCAATGTTTAGTGCAAGGACCAGAAAAGGACCACTAAATACTCGGTGGATTTGGGACACAGGAACACATCAGTGACATTGGGGCATTCAGTCTGTCTGGTGCACACCTGACCTTCCTTGTCCAGATTCTGTTAGTCTCCCGGGCGGGGGGGCGACCAGTGGCAAAGTTTTCACGAAAGGCACAGTGTGAACCATGGACAGGCCAGGATGTTCCAGATAGACTGAGGGCCACTGTGGGAGCCCGGGGAGGAGGGAACACGTGTCTAGCTGCCTTCTGTGGCCCCATGTGTGGCGGGGACAGGGACAGACCTGCTCCCCGCAGAGGTGGCCGGACTGGGCCCCGGAAGGAGCTGGGCCACGAGAAGCATGCTGTCAAAAGAAAAGAAAGAAAAAAGGCAAGCAGCTGCGTGGCGAGGTGGGGTGGGGGTGGGGGATGTCACTTCAGGCTGAGATGTCCAGGGCCACGGTCCAGCCCCGCGCGGGCGCCCAGGCCTGCGGAGACAAGCAGACTGGAGGGTTTCTCCTGGGAAGGCTCCCCGAGGCCTCTAGGAATCTACAACACAAAAAAAACAGAAAGAAAAAGATAGTTTAGAGGAAGGCAGGCGGTCAAGGGCGGCCACTCTGCTTCTCTGCAGAATGCGCTGCCCCGGGATGGGGACAGCTTCAGAGCAGTGGGCTGTCACCACAGGGCACGTCTGAGATAAGGAACTTTCACGGTTTTGGGTCCGCTAGGGAGCCCGCCTTTCCTCCGAGAGTGAACAGAGGCCCGCATGGGAGACGCTGCCCCCATCCGCCCCGACCCCTCTTTCTAAGGGGAAAAAAAATGTGCCCATGTTCCCAGGAGGGTGCAAGGCATTTCAGGGCCCGATTCTGTCCCCGGCAGACACTCTCTGGGCTTCCCAGAAACGTAAAATCTTGGCGAGAAGGAAAACTTGTCACTTTAATGTTTACTCAGCAATAAACAGTGAAAGTTCTTCATCTTGAGGGGCAGAGGAGGAAGGAGAGACGGATTCTGGAAGCCCTCAGGAGCACACAGGGTGAGAAACGGAGAAGGTGTCATCATTTAAAGGGGGGAGGGGTAGAATTTTTAAAAAGCATTTGGCTGGAAAAGTTCTCCATTACTGAAGACAAAAGAGTTAAACACCCGTATTACACAGAATAATTTTCTCAGAAAGGTGAAAAATCATTTAAAATACACAACACTGAGAAAAATACGTTTATTAGAGAGGCAGATACGAGGGTACAACTTAAAGATGCCAGACAGTCTTTTCTTTTAGGGTAAGGAGAGAGCGAGAGAGAGAGAGACAATCATGTTGGCCGTATTCAAACGAAACTTACTCAGAGCCCAAGTGTCTACAATAAACTCAATGAGGAGCAGCCGGCAGGGAACCTAGTCCTTCCGGCATCCTCAGCGGTTACAAAAACAAAGAAGGTCATTAGGCAGCAGAATCACCAATAAAACAAACAGACAAAAGAGTAAAACGTTAAAACAACAAATTCAAGTCATCCTTTTAGTTCTTCAATTGCAGTATATACAAATATATTGGGGGGTCGGTGGTGGGGAGGGGGTTACGGACATATTTAACAGAAAGCAATTTAAAAAACCAAACCAAACCATAAAAGAAGATAAGTCACAATCCAATGGACCCACTGGATGTTCCTCTAGTCTAAATATTTTGGCAATTATTAAATAGTCACATCGTAGACAACACACACATACACACGCATGCGCGCGCACACACACAAGTGCATGGGCACAAAACAGCTGCTTTGAGTTCTGGGCGTCAGGAAGCAGCAGTCCCGATGGGTTTGTGGGGGTGGGTGGGTGGGGGAAGTGTTCTTGGGGGTCCCGACAAGCTTTAGAAACCAGGTGGGGAAGGTGGGTTCTACCCACACGCCAGTAACCTCTAAGCGTGTGTCTAAAATGAAAGGAGAAAGCTTCCTAAACAAGCAGAGACTTACTTGCCGCCTTTTATTTTAGCATAAAACTGGGGGGGAAGAAAACCAGAGTATATACTCTGGGCAGAAATGGGCATCCTGATTCTTGGGGAATGGTTTCGGGATTTCTTCTAATATTTGGTGCACTGACCGGCTTAAACAGAAGCTACAAAGTGTCACTGTGCTGTCTGCAGTTCTGGAGCGGCCTCTGCTAAGGGCCTGGGGCACACAATTACAAATCATGATTATTCACTGACACACCAAAACCAGCCCCCAGGCCCCCCGCAAACCAACTGAGCCATTTTCTGCATCAAATATGCACGACCATAAGGGGGAAAAAAATTCACGCACTGTCATACTTTCCAAGGGCGGCTTCAAAAGGCTAACATTGTCTTGGCCATTTTAAGACTTCTTCAATGTTTAATTTGCTTCCTGCAAGCAGGTCATCATCTAGAAATGAGTCCATCAGCAGACAGAAAGCTTTGATTTTAATACCTCAAGTCTCCCTTTCGCTTGGGTCCATGCCTAACGCGGTGACCTCCTGTTCAGTCAGAGGGATCCCTGCGGTTTCAGCGTCAGCTGCAGTATTTATAAAAAGGGGAACTGAAACAATTTTTCCTCAGAGGTCTGGGGTCCAGGATGAATGGCTTTACTGATAGTATGTCGGCACAAGTAGAACAATGCACAAGAAATCTAAACTGATCCCTCTGTACGGTCTTTGCAACTCCCCAGGAATCTATGATTATTTAAAAAGAAAATGTGTTTTAAAAATCAGGCCGTCGTTAAGCAAAGTCGATCAAGTCCCATTTTGGTGGTCCTTGGGGAATGTCGGGAACTTTCTACTGCACTCTGCAACAAGCACTCATATCTCCTGCCAGGTGCTGCCCCTGCCCATGAACTGCGTTTGCTTTTAAAAGCAGCTTTATTTTTATAATTTTTTTTTTTGTAAAGTCAGCTTTCAATTGGCTTGAGCTCATAAAAGGAGCTCATGATGTAAAACCAAGGAGCTAATTTCCTATTTAAAAGTAGGAAAGACACGAAGGAATAATCTTCACAGCCAAATAAAAGAGAAAATTGTGCCCGACCCATTTATTCTGAGCTGGTTCTCTGGGATCTCAGGGTAGATTCCTGAAATGGGGACAAACACTGGGCTTGGTACCTGTCTACGCACATGATCAATTTCACTACCCATCTTGCCAATTTAAAAAATGCAAATCCCCATGTGACCCAGATTCAAAACGGCGAAATGCTCTATTTTATGCTGGCCTTGGTTAATGACACAAAACAAGTGAGCAATTCTCAAACAGCTGTCCATAAATTCATATTTGGGGGCTTAAAGAGTGCCAGTGATTAAAATAAACACAAAACACCTTTGAAAAGCGATTAGCTGGGGTCTAAGCGGAAGAAGCAGCTGGTGACGCACCCGGTTCTATTTATAGCGCCACCTGGGGACGTGTGAGCTGCACAGCGCCCCACTTACCACAGACGCTCCAACAGAAATTCACTGGTTTTTCTCAGTTATCGAAACAGCACCAGGGTATCTGATGGGCTCTGTCATTGACAGAGTGGGGAGCTCAGTGATCTGACGTTAAACTCAGATTAACTGTTAACCAAGCTTTTCCAGATTTCAGCGGGCCATCTGGGATACGCAGACGTGATAGGATAATCACCATGTACTATGATCTTAAACACGTTTAAGGAAAAAGACACACTTTTTAGTACTGACATAGGAATCTCCTTATTTTCTTTCCTCAAGAAGGGGGATGTTTTATTTTTTACTTCCTCCAAAGCAGACGACTGTAAGACCAAACTAACAAACTAGCCAAGTTCAATTTACTGTTACAAAACACAACGTCCTAAGGTAGTTCAATCTGCCACAGATGCTAGCTATACACAGGAGAGCAGATGTCTTACGCACCCCCTCAGACGCGTGTGGACTTTTCAATTTGGAAATATCGACTAGAAGCTAGAAGAGCCGCTTTTTTTCTGGATGCCTACAGATATGGCCAGAGGAAGAAACGCTTGTGGGGTTCAAACGACAGAATTTTAAGTTGGCAGTTGGAGCTTTCCACATAATATTTCGTTAGCAAGGGACACTTGATTATAGTCAAAACTAGCCAGGGAAAGTCGGGTGTTAAGACACCTACATGGCCACCGCGTGCGGCCAAACGACAACATGCACGCTAGTGTCCTCCATCCAGACATGTGAAGAACCGCCTGTAACAGTCATAGCTGTGGGAAGAGACACCTCCAATTTTTTTTAAGTTTGTTTTTGTTTTTTAAGTTGTATTAAATATAAGTCTTAGCACCTTTGGCATTTTTGTCCAAATAGACTTCGACGTATGAAGTGGGGACATAACCCTCTTCTTCTTCGTTCCTCCGGATGCGGGTCCACCCATCACCTTTGTCTTCCTCTATGACGTACAGCGTTTCTCCTTCAACTACTGAAATGGTTCCTTCATTCTGACCTGGAGAAGCAAGATCAGAGAAGTTTAGGCTTCTCGTGGCATCGTGATGGAGCAAAGAGGGAGCTTGGCTGTGAAGGAAGGACAGCCAGCAACAGATGTACTGACGCCCTCGCTCATTACCCTCCAAGGCCTCCTCCCGCGCAGAAGCTTCTGGGCCCTCCCCCTGCAGCAGGTCCCCAAGGCCCTCCTCCAGTTCCTCCAGGGAGAGCCCTCCCCTCTTTCCGGGGAAGCCAGGTGTGTCCCTGGGGGAAATCTTCACTCCCCTCTTCCTCTCCCTTGTGGAGAACATAGTCCTAAAGGGCTTTGATGACACCTTTTCAGATGACATCTCCACTTCTTTCTCCCTTTCTGGTTCTTGTCTGGAGCTAAGGTCCCACTTCTCCCTTTAACACCTGTCCCCCTCATTGTTGCCCTGGCACCTGAACCTGGGCTCACGGTGTTTCCTCCCAAATCACAACTTCTTCCTCCTGCCTTCCCACTTCGGGGGGAGCCCCAGGAAGGCACCTTTGGGAATCCTCTCCACTCTCCTCCCCGTCTTCGTTCTCCACTTCCGATCAGCCAGGAGTCTCAGCAGTTTGCTGACCACGGCATCTCTGTGCCCACTCTTGAATCGGTGTCCCCAAGACCCATTTGCAGACGGTAACTCCTGAAGTCTAGCCCCCACTGCTCAAATGGTGTTCTGGAGGGGGGCAGACTGCCTAGGGAACTGTTTACAGGGGTGCTGTGGGGGTGGGGCCGAGGCGTGGCAAGGAAATCTGTAAGATCCATTCGTTCCAGGGTTTCCAAAAGCCTACCCGAACTCGGATGGCTTCTTCCACACCATCCTTATTAGCTTTTCCTACAGGACATCGCTCTGCCAACACTAGGCTAGTCTCTCTAACCCTTGATCCCTTTCTCTGATTGGTCCCATGCATGTGTAAGTAAAGATCCCCAGGCATCAACGCCCTGCTCAAACGCTTTCAATAGCTCCTTGGTTATTGCCAAATCCAGATGATTCTCTCACCCACTGCCCCCCTCACTGGCACCACCTTCTAGTCTCAGATTCTGCTATTCTTAAGCCCTCTAAGCTCCAGCCACACGAGCCCATGCCTTCCTCCCCTCCCTACCTGTAATGCACAGGGGCCTGGAGGGTTCTCTGAATTCTCTGAAGGATGTGATCTCGCATTCCCCGCTGAGTGACGTCCCTCCATCACTCTGCACCCCTCTTCTGGTGAATGCTGCAAGCTGACCTCTCCCAAATGTGTGTCAGCTCTCTAATTTCCAGGGGTGGATGCCATACCATACCACCCACGTCCCTCCCCTCTGGGGGTCTTTACAAACAGGCGCTCCAGCAGTACTGGGAGAATGGATGAAAAAAATCATCATTATCCCACACTATCTGCTGCAAGTAAGCTTCACGAGAGCTGTTTAGTTGTGTGGACTTCAGGGCAAAATCCACAGCCGCCAGCCAAAGGATGATGAGGATGGCGACTATGGGCAGAACGAATCTTCTAGAAAGATATGGAAGGCTTCAAAAGAAGGTCCCATCACAGCGGAAGAAGAGGCGGCCTGTGTGAGTGGGGGACCCCCGGGGCCCCGTGTTACCTTCAAACGTGTAGAGAGCTTTGCAAGTCCCGATGGCCGGCAGGGGCTCCTCGTCGTCAAACTCGTCGTCGAAGTCCGTGGCCAGCACCTTCACCTCACTCTCCTGACTCTGCTCCTCCGTGTAACTGCCATCTGGGCTGCTCAAGAAAGGAAAGCACACAACAACTATAGCGACTGACCCCAGTGACGACTCACGGTCTGCCACAGTGGCAGCAAAGCACTTGCATATACGCCCCACCCCGGACCGCCCTAACGAAGGCCATCTCGGGTCACTCTGCGTGCTCCATTCCTGCCCCGCGTGGAATGAGGGCCCGGAGTCGTGGGGCAAGGGCAGGCCAGGCTTCACGGGCTCTTTGGTCTCGCTCCTTACGCTCCTTTCCAGACTCCAGAGTTGGGAAATGAACATGAAGCCAACTCGCTCCCAGCGGGGCAGCAGGTGCGGTACAGATACTGTACCTCTCGCGGTCCTGAGCACAGTTGTTGACCGTGGCTGGGTTCTGGGCGTCGTACATTCCACTTTGGCGGCGGGCCTGATCACTGCGCGCTGGCAGCCTGCCTTCCACCTCGGCCAGCCAGGCCTGCAAGCAAAAGTGACGAGACCCTGGTCTGAGCTCAGCTGGGGGCCTGACCATGGAGTCCTAAGGCCCCAAATTTGGATTGCTCCAGGGTCACTGACACCAAGACACCAAAAGGACCACATGGGGGGGGGTGGTGGTGGGGGAGTCTCCAGTGTATTTGCACTTAGCCGTACAACCACCTCTAGTTCATCTCACCTGGGGGAAGTAGAAGCAAACGTATTTAGGCAACTGTCACAATGTGGGGCAGAAGGGACACCCGACCGTGTTACCCTCTCGGGCTGTGTATAAACAGCTGTGTGATTTCAGATAAGCTGCTTCCAGTTCCTTCTGGTTCCAAAACTCTGTGACCTTGAGGTCACACTGGAGAATAGGAGGGTGCTGTCACACATAAGCGGTGACTCAGTTTGAAAGTCACACTTCCCTCCCTTTTTTTTGAGTGTCACTCTCTTTAATGGGGAAGAAACACATATATAGGAAATCCAAAGTAGATAAAATTATCTTCTGCAACATTCGAAACAACGTTAGAGGCAAAAGAATGAAAACGATCAGGAAAGGACATTTCTAAGGCTCTAAAAACTCAGAACAGCACTAACTGACAGAGGGATTCCAGGAAGAATTTTAAAACGCCCCTGTTGACCCTTTGTGGCTGGAAATCACCTATTCCAACCGCAACGATTGGTTACTCATGCAGTTTTCCACGTTCCGTAGTCTTTCAGTTTGGGGGCAAAAGAAGCCCTGCCATCCATAGTTTTTGAGTGCTCCTGTCTCGCTCCCGAAAACATTTATTCGTTGTAATTCCCACTCGTTTCTAATCTGTGTTTCTTCCCGGTTTCCACATACATATAACCCTTTGATAACAGGTCCTTTGAAAGAACAGTAACATGTTGGAATTGATTTTTTTTAAAACGTCCTTTTGATGCACGGAGGTGTTGGGCGACTGCATACTCCCAGTGGTGTCCATTATCAACAGGAGATGAAGCAGGATACACTAAGGGAGGCACTTACGGAAAAGCATTGTAGATACTAATGCGACTTCGACCCGTGTCGGCTTTAGGAGACATACTAGACTGAGGTGGTGCCGAGGGCAGAAGGCTCAGTGGATGACGATTTCTCCCTTTATCACAGCTTGAGACTGGCCCCCCCCCAAGGGGCAAGACACGCTGGTGCCCTACAGCGTAGACGCCGTGACCCCGCCCCCAGCCCCTTCCTCTGTTTCTTTCTTTTTTCTTTTTTTCAACAAAGCTTTTCAACCCCAGCTTTTTCATACCTCAAATTTCTGGGCTTCTAGCCGCAGTTTTTCTATATTTTGGCTGACTTCTGTTAATTTGTGATCCAGACTGGCTGGGTCTCCCATCTGAGGATTCTTTAGGTAAACATCTTTCATTTTTGTTATAGCATCTCTGGGGGAAAAAAAAGAATGAGTGGAACACAGTGACAGGTGAATGTCATGAGTTAAGTGTATTCTCCTGACGCCTTGGAAACCATGTGAATGGGAAGCAGGGGGAGGCTGTGTAACGTGTGGGGGCGGGGTGGGGCGGGGGTAGTATCGGGCTTGCTTTCATTCTTTAAAACTCTGTAAGAACTCTGCTACCCAGGTCTGTGTAATCCAGAGACAGGTATTAAAATTTCAGTTGCTTGGGGCGCCTGGGGGGCTCAGTCGGTTAAGCGTCTGAGTTTGGCTCAGGTCATGATCTAACAGATTGTGGGTTCGAGCCCTGTTTTGGGCTCTGTGCTGACAGCTCGGAGCCTGGAGCCTACTTCGGATTCTGTGTCTCCCTCTCTCTCTCTGTCACCACCCCCCCCCCATAAACAAACATTAAAAAAAGTTTTTTAAAAGATGTTAAAAGTTTAGCCCAAGCGATACTACATGTGTAGTGGGCCAACTTTAATGAGCTTCAGTAAAAGATGGTCTAAACCCATTATGGGGCACCTGGGTGGCTCAGTTGGTTAAGCCTCCGACTTCAGCTCAGGTTGTGATCTTGTGGTTTGTGAGTCTGAGCCCTGCGTTGGGCTCTGTGCTGATGGCTCACAGCCTGGAGCTACTTCAGATTCTCTGTCTCCCTCCCTCTCTGCCTCTCCCCCGCTCACGCTGTGTGTGTGTCTCTCTCTCAAATATAAATAAACATTAAAAAAATTAAATAAGCCCATTATACAACATAAGACCAATGAAGCAAACCATATTTTGAGTCATGGGAAATGGTTTAACGGACAACACAGGAATACCAGGAAGAGAATTTCCATAAATCCTCCCCATGTCTCTTCCCCAAGCCCTCCCCGCTCGCATCTGAGCCCATCCATCCCGCTGCTCCTCTGGGGGGACCCACTATTTGCTGTCCCCGAAGCCACAGATCCAGGACAGCCCTCAATCCACCTGCACTCCCCGCCCCCTCACTTTGCTCTACTTCCTTCTTGCCCACAGCGTGTGTCACTTTCCAGCATTACGTAATCATTATGCTCATTGTTCATCGTCTGTCTCTTCCTTTTAGATTAGAAGCTCTTTGAGGAAGCCCTGGGGGCTTCACCTCTTGTTGACTTGGTATCTCCCCGGTGGCAAGCCCATACCTGGCACACAGTAGGTGCTCAATAAATACCAGTGAGATGAATACATGTCCTTACAGCAAAAAAACTGTCACGTCCATTTTGGCTTTATGGCTACACCTCCAGCTACTGCTCGATTTCTCTGCAAAACTTCTCAAGAGACTCATTGCCATTCATTACCTCCGATTCTCTTCCAACTCTCTCCTGATCAGTGTCTCCAGCAGCTTAATTTTATTCGTCTTTTGAAGGAGCCAACTTTTGGATTTGTTGATCCCCTTTGCTGAGGGTGCACTTTTTTCTCTACATAATTAATTTACATTCTTTCCTTGCTTCTGTTTTCTTGGGTTCAATTTGCTGTGCTTTTTCTAACTTTTTTTAAATATATTTTTTAAGTTTATTTATTTATGATTGAGAGCGAGAGAGAGCGCAAGGTGGGGAGAGGCAGAGAGAGAGAGAGGGAGACACAGAATCCAAAGCAGGCTCCTGGCTCCAAGCTGTCAGCGCAGAGCCCGACGAGGGGCTTGAACCCACAGACTGTGAGATCATGACCTGAGCCAAAGTCGGACACAACCAACTGACACATCCAGGTGCCCCTTTTTTTCTAACTTGTTGAGATGGATGCTTAGCTCACAAGATGTTTAGCATCTTTTTTATTTTTAATATGTTTCCTAAAGCTATAAATCCTTTTCTGAGCATCACCTTAGTGACAGCCCAGTAGCTGATTGGGTGAATGGGCATCCAGGTTCAGCTCTGCCCTGTCTACTTCCCAGTAAATAGTATGACTTCCTCTTTAGTCTGAGTTATTTAGAGCTATGTTTCTTAATTTCTAAATGTTTGCTCTTGGTAGCCAGCTTTATGTCAGGCTTCGGAGAGAGCACACCTTGAATGGTGTCTCCCCTTGGATGTTTGTAGAGATTCACTTCATGAAAATGGGATGTGCTCAATTTTGGGCAATGTTCTGTGGGTGCTTGAAAAGAATGCGTACCATGCAATCGCTGGGTAGATGTGTATTGGGTCAATTTTAATAGTCCTATTATTTAAATATTCTTACCTTGGATCTATTAAATCTGTTCTGCCAGTTACGAAGAGAAGAGCATTAAAAGATCTCCTCCTACAACGATGTGTATGTACATACTAATGTCCAAGGGTTAAGAGCAAAAGCTTGGTTATGTTTGACATCATCCATTCCTACAGTTTGAAACTGAGCTGTTTGTTACTCAAAGCATTTATTGTTATCAAGTCCATCCTCCTTGAGCTGAACAGTTTGAGAGTTTTTTGGCCCGAAGGTCAGTCTTCCTTTGGTTGGTACTGGTCAACCAATGGATGATAGATCTTTTTCCATTCTTTTACTTTCAACGTTTCTGTACCTTATGCATTAGAGGTGCTTCTGTAGAGAGCAGACAGGTGGGATTTGGGGTTTTGTTTTGTTTTTGGTCCAGTCTGAAAATCTAACTGGGACATGTATGTAGCCTGTCTACCTGGAACATACCCATTTTGTTTTATAGGCCCTTAGGTGTCAGGCACTGGTACAAGCACTTCACGTACATGGACACATTTAATCCTCACTATTCACTTCCTTTTCAAGATGAGGAAACCGAGGTAGGGTTAGGAAGTTAAGATTAAGACGAGGCTAAGAAGCTTGTCCAAAGCCTGCAACAAAATAGGGGGAACCAGGGTGGAGCCCAAAGGTTTTGAAATCCACCATCAGGGCGCGCCTGGGAGGCTGGGTTGGTTGAGCGGCTGACTTCGGCTCCGGTCATGATCTCGCAGCTCATGGGTTCGAGCCTCGAGTCAGGCTCTGTGCTGACAGCTCAGAGCCTGGGGCCTGCTTCGGATTCTGTGTTTCCCTCTCTCTCTGCCCCTTCCCTGTTCATGCTCTGTCTCTCTCTCTCTGTTTCTCTCTCAAAAATAAACAAACATTAAAAAATTAAAAAAAAAAGAAATCTACTATCAACTTTATGCTTCTGACTGATCCTGCCTTCTTCCTCGTACCCAGATGTCAGTGGCATGAGATCAGAGGTTTTCATATGGTTTGTTCATCACTTTATCCTCAGTGCCTATGATATTTCTTTGTACACAGTAAGTGCTCACCAAACAGTCATTTAGTGAAAGCTTAAATGTGATTTGCCTCATTACCAGCAAGGGCTACTGCAAGGGTTAAAAGGTTAACCCCGGCCATGACCCAAGTGGTAGAGAAAATCGTCTAGATTGTTGTTTCCAATGTCATTTTGGATACTTGAGTCCTAACTTCTTATTCTCAGAATACAACTGCTCACGTATTAAACAGCGTGAGGTTTAATTGGCTTACACATTTATGAAACTTTTTGTATTTGGTCCCGCATGTAGTAAAAAGTATAGAGACAAAATTTTCATTTCATGAAGTGTATTTCTAATACAAAACAAAAAAAAGTTAATTATATGTGCTGCTATATTTTATATGGTGTAACAGTATTTATAAAACCCACCCATGTTTTAGGAGTGGCTCTACCAAAAGTAAAAAAATAAACAACTACTTTTTCTTTTGCATATACTTTAACTGTACTTTACCTACCAATTTCGTTTGCTTTTTACATAACCAAATTTTATTTATTTTTAAAAACAGTCTTTTTTTAATGTTTATTTTTGAGAGAGAGACACACACACACAGAACCCAAAGCAGGCTCCAGGCTCTGAGCTGTTAGCACAGAGCCCGAAGCGGGGCTCGAACTCACAAACTATGAGATCATGACCGAGCTGAAGTTGGACGCTTAACAGACTGAGCGCCCCCCTGGCGCCCCTGCATAACCAAATTTTAATCCCAGCTTCTACATAGTTAAATTTACACATGGTCACTTTTTGGCCTATGTACAGACCACAAAATCTCAAGTTATCTTTTAGAAAACCTCAAGTTCAAATCTCAAATAGATGAATGATTCACCTAATTCACTCAGTGAGAATTTTAGGTGAGGAGCAATAAATAAACTGGTTTTTCAATCAGGAGTATTAGCAAGTATCCCCTACGTGATAGAAAAGATCTACAGGTCATAAACGTGGGAAGAGAAGTACAAAAGGAAGAGCGATATCAAGGGTTTTCCTATTATTTTTTGTACGTGTCCCATCCTAGAAACTTACAAAACAGCTCTGAGAACTGGGAACCCCCGCAATGGAGGCAGAAGCCTGTCAAGTGCCAGCAGCCATCACACCTGTGTAAGACGGTGTGTAAGACAGACCGTGATTTGTTCCCTAGGCACCATCAGTTCGCTAGGCAAGATAAGGAGACCCGAGAACCTCTGGGAAGGCTGATGGTCATTCAGCCTCAAATAGAAAAACAAACACATTTTGAACCCAAAGCTAGGACATGGGGCAAGGCAGAGGGGGGCAGGGGTCACGCCATGTTTCTCTTCCTCATTTGTACAAAAAAACTTGGCCATGGGGCGCGTGGGTGGCTCAGTTGGTTATACATCCCAATCCATGATCTGGGCTCAGCTCATGATCTCAAGGTTTGTGAGATCAAGCCGTGCATCGGGCTCTGCGAGGACAGTGTGGTGCCTGCTTGGGATTCTCTCTCTCTCTCTGCCCCTACCCCCTAAAAAATAAACTAAAAAAAAAAAAACCTCAGCTACACACTCAGAAGAAGGTGGGGGCATGGGTGAAACAGGTGAAGGGGATTATGAGCACGCAAATCATGATGAACACTGAGTAACGTATGAACTGCTTAATCACTATGTTGTGTACCCGAAACAAATATAACGCCGCTCATGAACTCTACTGGAATGAAAATTAAAAACCTAAAAAAATAAAAATCTAAGGGGCGCCCGACTGGCTCAGTCGGCAGAGAGTGCAACTTTTCTGAGTTCAAGCTCCATGTAGGGTGTAGAGATTACTTAAAAAGAAGTAAAAAAATTTTATAACGTAAAGATACAGAAATAAAAAAAAGATAATCATATGTATTTTGTTTCCCAAACTCAGAATAAAACCTATTTATTAAAAGAATTCTCTGGGGCGCCTGGGTGGCTCAGTCGGTTAAGCGTCTGACTTCGGCTCAGGTCATGATCTCATGGTTCGTGGGTTCAAGCCCCACATCGGGCTCTGTGCTGACAGCTCAGAGCCTAGAGCCTGTTTCAGATTCTGTGTCTCCCTCTCTCTTTGACCGTCCCCTGCTCACGCTGTCTCTCTCTCAAAAATAAATAAAACATTAAAAAAAAATTATCCTGATGGGTAATGAAGCCCTCTAGTAGATTCTCCGTGACAAGACACACAGCTGAAATAATCACTGACATTGAACCCATTTTAGGATTTCCTATCTTTCCAAACTGAGCCTGAATTTTTTCCTTCCTTCCTTCCTTCCTTCCTTCCTTCCTCCCTCCCTTCCTCCCTCCCTCCCTCCCTTCCTTCCTTTCAAGATTTTATTTTCAAGTCATCTCTACACCCAGTGTGGGGCTCGGACTCACCACCCGAAGACCAAGAGTTCACAAGCTCCTCCCGCTGTGCCTGCCAGGCGCCCGTGAACCTGAATTTCTTAATTAGTCGTATTGCTGCACTCTACCTTTGATCCATCTCCTTCTGAATTTCTTTATTTAATTCATCGACCTTCTGCTGCAGCTTTTTCCTTCTCTGCTCAGGCGGGAGGTTGCTGAAATCCTCTGGCGTCGCGCCCTGCAGATGTAAACATGCATGAACCAGGGGTGCCGCCGGAAAACAGACACCGAATGACGCCTGCGGGAAAGACTCCCTCAGACGCCGGGGGCTGCAGATGTCTGCATGTGTTTTTATGACATCAGTGAAGCTCTTTCCCATGACACCCAGCTGAGATGCAGAAACAGTGCATGCAAACCGGGAAGAAAGATCCCACAGACCGGTTCCCTGGACCGCCTTCCACCAGGCCAAGAGTGAGACAGCGGGGGTGGGGTGTGGGGTGGAGAAACACCTCTGACCCCCGCGAGAATCCATGAAAAACGCAGTTTGAGACATAGTCTTCACTTGATCGCCTGTGTCGGTGGCGTCAGTGAAGTCCGAAGGAAGTTTGAGGTTGCTGCTCCCTTCATAAACGAAGGGACAAGCATCCCCGTCAACTGTTTCATGTCAAAGGCACTGTTTCCTCTCTTTCCTCCCATTTCTTCACACAGGCGGAGGCCCAAAGTTTCCATCCCCACCAAGTGGCAGATGGGACATCTGGTTCCTCAGAGACCATGGGTGAAAAGGACATTAAAACATACAACCTCCCTGCCCACCCCCGCCCCGCCCAGGACTCTTCCCTCTGAAATCTGGTCGCTCCTTTTGACATTTATAGGGTGACTGTGGAAGCTCCACAGAGATCTCGCGCCCCGACCCCCACACCGACTTCCCAGCGTCCAAATCCAGCCCAGCTGTTCCCGATCCAGCAGAAGGAGCATATTTGGTATCCTGATCCCCCTTCAGGAACAATTCCTATCTCCCCTCCGTGCATGCGATGAGCAGGAAACACCAACAGCGAGCCTCTGCACTTCTACAGACACCCAGGCGTTAGAAGCAGCCGCGAGGCTGTGGGTCCCTGAGGGCCTTGACTTCAGCGAGGCTACGTCCATAAAGAAAGAGAAATGTATTCCACAACCAGGGAGAAGCTAAGGAATTGAAAAAGAGGGTTATTTTTCCCCCCTTCCCCTTACTTTAGAGCCAATTAAACAAAGGCCAGACTGGCTCGGGCTCGGGGGTGGAAAAGAGGGGCCCCAGATAACGGAATTCCAAAATCAAGCTGAATTTGGCAAGCAGCTCACATGGTGCTTTGTGACCAAGGCTCCCCGGCTGCCAGTGACAGAGCGCCAGGCTGCGGGGCTGCAAGTGTGGGGTCCGGCAGGGTTTGCCCGGAAGGCCACGCACAGACCTTTCGGCTGATGCTCTTAGACTTGTGTGCATGTGCACGTATACAAGAGAGAAGATTTGCGTGAACCTAGAACTGAAGTGGCTCTTCCCTAATGGCAAACCACGCAAGTCCAGAAAGAAATCAGACTTTGTGTTTTGTTTTCCACGTGCTACTCTTGTGTTGTTAACATGTGAAACCTTTAACTGTGTGCTTTTTCACTTGGCTGAGCTCAGTCGCCGGGCCTACGAGCACAAGGCTTTGTCCTACTACTGAGATGACTTAACACAGAGCAGTATGTTTTCCAGAACGGAGGGGCTTTTTGTTCTGGTTTTTCAGTGCCGCAACAAATCCCAGCTGCCAGGAAACCTGGGGCGGGGTGGTGGGCGGGGGGGGGGGTCGGGAGGTCGGAAGAATTTTTTTATCTACAAACAACAGAGAAGTTCTCACATCTGCACCGGTCAGCACAGTAGCCGCGCACGCCTGCTGGACATCCAGTGCGACCGCGGAACTGGATTTTAGGTTTTTATTTCATTTTCATGAACTGAAATCTAAATAGCCACACATGATGCGTGGCTACCATGCGGGCTGGCGCGTCTAGATTGTGAACAGGTGTAAGATTTGCATTGGTATATAAACAGCTGCAAAGGAACCTTCAGTAAAACGGAGAGTACTTAGGACTTACGGACAGATACCCTCAACAACAAAAAAAATTAACTTTAATCATTTATAAAAACTAAAAACAATGAATGAATGTTTACAAAAACTAAATGATGAATGAATGAATTTGGTCCCCATTGAGAGATAGTCTGTGTTTCTGTATTGTTATTTAGAAACTAATCTCGGGGCACCTGGGTGGCTCAGTCAGTTCAGCGTCTGACTTTGGCTCGGGCTGTGATCTCAAGGTTCGGGAGTTCGAGCCCCGCATTGGGCTCTGTGCTGTCAGCTCAAAGCCTGCTTCAGAACCTCTGTTCCCCTCCTCTCTCTGCCTCTCCCCTACTTGCACTCAATCTCTCTCAAAAAATAAATAAAAAACTTTAAAAAATAGAAACTAATCTCATGCGTTATGCCTCAAACAAACTTCATGTTGCCCTTGGAGATTCAGGTAACTTCTACATCGAAAGGAACGTAAGGTGTCTGGAAGTCTCTTCATAAGGCCACTGTGTCCAACTAGCTTTTTAATTCCATGAAGGAATTTATATTTCTAGCTTCGAGTCAGAACAGACTTTCTGAAGTCTTCGGAGTGGCCTGGTTTACAGAGAGCCTGGCCACGTCGGGTGGCACTGGTGTTTTGGGAGGGGATCAAAGCACGTGGGGCCATTTTAAGTGGCTGTGGCTCTCATAGGAACTTGTCCTACCCACTTCTGGAATCAAATACTTGCTCCAGGGCAATTCCCCACACACAGCACAAGTACACGAGCTGCTTCTTGGAATTTTAACATGTGTTTCCACCCCAGGCATCTCTGGGCAACACTCCACTTCTCTATTAGTATCTACGTAATGATATAAAGCAACAATTCAATACCGGGTGGGTAAAATGATTTCTATCTCAGACCGCCTAATATTATTCATGATATCGTCCTTTGTTACCAGTACCTTGGCAGCAGAAGAAATACAGAAAGGGCAGGGAAGGAAGCCCAGGATCTGAGAGACTCCTACTTAATTGATCCAATGTCTCCCCAGTGGCTGCTGCCATTGAATGCAGTGCATTGAAACATTACAATGTTTTCCTACTCGTAGAGGCTTTAATTAGGATCTCATCTCGAATTTTATTTCAGTCTAAGAAATGCTCAATTTAATAAAATATTCATTTCCTTCCTTCCTTCCTTCCTCGTCTGATTTTGGTATAAGGGTAATGCTGGCCCCGTAGAATGAGTTAGGAAGTATTCCCTCTGCTTCAATCTTCTGAAAGAAATTAGAGAGAACTGGTAGAATTTCTTCCTGAAATGTTTGGTAGAATTCACCAGTGAATCCATTTGGGCCATGTGCTTAATTCTTGATAAATGAATGCTAGGATTAAATAAATGTGTGTGTGTGTATAAGTAAGCACCCCACCCAATGTGGCGCTTGACCTCAAGACCCTGAGATCAAGAGTCACATGCTCTATGGACCGAGCCAGCCCAGGTGCCCCTAAAATACTCATTTTCTTTAGGGTCAGCTTGGTTGCTAAATACTGAGTCCGGTGGAAAAAGTCCTGTGTGTATGCACATATTCGTATACACACGTTCAGATGTGTACATGAGGATAACCACAAATTCTTCTCTTGCGTTATCAACAGAACTGCATAAAGTGCTGACCTTATTTCTGGTTGAATTGTTGCACTTTATCATCGTCTGTAATTTTAGGGAATTCTCAGCTGTGCCGTTGAACCTACTATAGAAGTTACACATATCTACAGTACAGTTAAGGGTTATACAGTTAAGAGTTTCTTTTAATAAATTTAATGATTAGTCGGACTGTTTACTAGGGCTATGCAATTAGGTGGAAACAACACAGAACACTAAGTAAATTATTTTAGAAAGGCTTAGGAGGCTCTTTTCAGTGTCCATGAAGTCACCTTGTGGTTTCTTAAATCAGCTATGCACAAGGCACCTGTGTATTTACAGAGGAACTTAAAGATTCCGTGGCTCGCTATTCTCGCAGGTGGCCTCGGACCTCAGTGTGAGAGCGGCACCAGCTCTGCGTGTGTCCTTTAGGCTCTCTGTGTTTTTCATCTGCTCCTGGGGTTCCCAGGGAGGATCATCTTCCAGCCGTGAACTTTACTTTGACTCCAAATGATCCAATGAATAACACCCCCAATATGGAGTATTTCCATTTATGCTTGCGTTTAAATAAAGTTTATTAAAATTTGCTATCCTCTTAAGGCCCCAGTAAGAAAGGAAACCAAATCATGAGTTAAAGTGTTAATTTTCTTAGCACCCTGAAGAGATTAAGATCGCCCCTATTAGATTCTGAACCTTCGTACTGCAAAGGTCTGATGAAGAAACACCAGCAAAAGCAGACGCAAGGGAAACACACGCCAAAAAAACCTGATTAGATTCAGGACATGCATAGGATAATTGTGCTTACCAGCTTGAGAGAAAGCTTCATGTAAACATTGAAGAGGTAACAGGGGAAAAAAAAGAGAGAGAGAGACAACAGATCAGAAGAAGAGGAACGCGATCGGTTCCACCGTATTAACATAGCACATCAATTCCCCTGTCGCTTGTGCAAATGGCTTGCAGCGGATCTGTGCAAACGTTCACAAGAGGGGCTGGCCCCTGCCCAAACCTTCTTTATCTGCCATGTTGCCAGAGAAAGAATAAAGATAGAAAAGGAGAGTTTCTGTTCACTGTTCTGTTTAGGTCACATCAGCTCGGACCTCAGCTAAAATAAGTTTGCTGTTGGTAACATGTGCTGAGAATAAAAGAAAAAAATAATTGTGGAGGCTTTTGTTCGCCAAATTTCACACAGAACGTTTCTGCTCACAGCGGGGTCCGGACAGCAGTTACTTCCGTAACATGCAAGTAATCTATTTATCCTAAGGAACTGGCATTTCTTATTGCTAGTCATTGGCAAATCCTAATAACTGGCGTTTCTTGAAGGCACGAAGAAGGCAAGCTCTCAAGTGGGTGAATGGGTAGCCAGGGACTGGAAGCCGTTCCAGAAAACTGCCCACAGGAGCCAGAAAGCCTCCCTGCACTGGGCAGGGCGATGCTCTCTCCCACCTGAGCCCCGCTCACCACCTCCTGCACGGTGGAAGGTGTACTCGGAGGCTCTCTATCCACTCTGAGCCCTACCCATGGGGGTTACGTAGCACTTGGTGAATTAGGTGCAGCAGCTGCTCTGAAGGTTACCTTTAGGACACAAAGAACCAGCTGCCTCAACTATCAAGGGCTACTCCTTACAATGGGTTTTCTGGGAATCAGACACAGCAGGTGCAATTCTGCTGGGCCCGCAGATTAGCAAAAGAACAGTGATTATCGGACACAAAACAGATTAAAAGGCATCTCCAAATTAGAAAAAGAAACGTTCAGCTCTTCGTAAACGGGGAAGACATGCTCTATGGCTATGAAGCAATGCTTTGAGCGTGTGGTGCCCTTTTGCTTAGCTGTCGTCAATCCTGAAAGTTCCGGCAGCTTGTAGTAGGATCAAAAATCTGTAGGGGACAAAGCACCGAAGAAAGAGGCCTTTGATTTTTAAGTTGAGAGTGTGGAGGGTGTTACAAATTCCTTAACCAGATTTGAAAAATCTTATTCTTAAGATTAACTCAAACTGGACACTTCTTTTTAAATAGGCATTAAGCTTTTAAAGGCAGTGCCCCTTTGGGGGGGAGAGGATGAAAAAAGGCTTTGAAGGAAAGACGCAGTCAGACAAAACTTTTGGGAGAATGCGGGACACACAGGCATACTCGTGACTGTTCTCGTGCGCCCCTCCTGTGAGCTTTAGCACAGATCAGTTCGTCACAATTCGGGTTCTTTACACACAACACCGGGTGCACAGCAGAAAACTTTGCGAATATCCCCCCTACAAAGCACACGACCACCTACAAATGTCTCCTCACACATTATCATCTGGAATGCCATTAATTCAAAGAACCGACACTTGAACTTTGTACACTCCCTGTTCTCTACTCGGCTACCTTGGTTACTTATATATGCACAGAAGTTACATATTCTTCCTTAAGCCCCCCAAAAGAAGAATTCTAACATCAAACCTAACAGCACGGGATTATTACCACTTCATAATAAAAACGAGTCATTAGGATTGAAAATAAATCCAGGCACCCAGAGGAAAATACCGAATTTTCGAGACAAATTCAATTTTCCGAGGTGGACAGTGATGGGCAATCTACACAAAGCACCAGCACGGTGCCTGGTATTCTTGTAACGATTGTTATAGACTGGTTTTTGGTCGTGGGTTGTAAGCCAGCCTTAATGGGCTTTTTTTTTTTATCATTTAAAATTAGAAACCAAACCATTTAAGAGAATCCTTTTCAAAGATGGCATGAAGTGCGCTGCGAGACACCTGAGGAACTAAGAAGCTGTCAGTTTCAGGCAACAGGTATGGAGCCTCGAAAGCCACACGTGTCAATAACACATGAGGGAACACAGAGCTAGCGGGTCCATGTGTTATTCCGCAGCCACAGGTACTAACCTCAAGTACGAAGAAAGGGGACGGTGAACATAAACATGAGTCAATGTGGAAAGTCATGTTACTAACTCTATGACCTTGCTCGTGATCGCTCTGGCTCTCCAAGCTTTTTGGCACAACCCCCTGATGGATCCACCTATTTCAAACGGGATCGTGAGTCCTCTCGTGATGCAACTGCTATCCATTAAGAGTGTCCTTCTCTGACCATGCTCTGTGGCCGCGTTTATGGGCCAGGCCCTGCCGTAAGGGCACACCCAGGGACATTGTCTCAGACAGCAGTCACAATCAGCGAGGAGGGGGGAAAAGCCAAGCTCAGCTCATTGGCATTTTTAGGCAGTTTGGTTGTTATTGGGAAGTTGGGTTCCTTTTCCCACCAAGCCTCCCTGATTGAAGGAGCTTGGGGTTGTATTGATATTGATAATGAGGCTTTTTTTTTTTTTTTTTTTTTTTCCTGTGTCCAGGTCCACCAGTGGAGAATTTCATTGCTGGGTCCCCAGTCTTGGTGCTGTCATAGGGGTTAGTGCCTGTGCCGTGACTGTGCGACCTGGCCGTCACAGGGAAACTTACAACATAGTCCCTAGCTTCAAAAGCATACGTGGGCTTCCCTATCGTCCTCTTCATGAGTTCTTTGTGAAAACAGAAAGACTGAGTCTGCCAACAATCAGCAAGAGAACAAGATAAAATAAATAAAAATTAAAGTAACCAGAAAACTGTTCACATCTGACAAACAATCGGCAAGGATTTTCCAGACCTTTTCATCAACTTTGATGGGACCTCCCACGCAATGAACTCTAAAATGCGGGGGGAAGATATGCCCATATTTTAGATTTAGAAGGCCCTTGCCCAGACCAGGGAAAGAAATCTTAATTTAAGACTATAAAATTACGCCATAAACGGCAAACTGAGACCATACTATCTAGTTTCATTTTTCTTACGTAAAGATGAAAAAAAGGTTAATCGTGCTCACGGGCCGTGCTTTAGAAATGTTCAGTGAAACAACATTTTCTTACAGACACCAATGGCTTACAAACCACCATTTTCACCTGTTTAATTATTTTGACCCGAAATCAGCTACACTAAGAAACGCCTGAATAGATAGGATTTATACATTATGATCATAGAAACAAAGGGTTGAAATCTGGATCTAAGAGCTGCAAAACATGGTAAATTAAAAGCATGTCAGAATCACAGACGTATTATTCTATGTCTATCTATCTTTGGCACAATCGTCTTAAAGTTAAAAAGTTAGAATAAATGAAAGGGAAGCAAGGACCGTATCGTTTTCGTCATGAATCCTGTAAGCCATGTACCTTCCCTGTTGAGGTGGCTTTAAAATAAAATTTATTTCCCCAAACTTCACATTCCTGTTTTTTTTTGTTTTTTTAATTTTTGAACTTCCTAATCTTACTTCTATCATGAATCTCCTTTTCCTTTTTTGTTCTTTCTTTTTTGTTCACTGCTACTTCCTGAAGGAAGGGTCATTACATGTGACCCTTGCTAAGAGCAGACTGACCAAAAATGAGGGAGGCAGAAATATGTTTCTATTGACTTCCTAATACTTCCAGTCTGTACACATGTGCATTAACTCTCAGGAAAACACACTCACTATTTAGGAAAAAAATTTTTTAACCGAGTTTTTGCTGAGCACAGATGGAAAGGGTAAGAAATAAAATTCATTTTGCTGGTTACAATTTGTTTTAAAAAAGGGATACTTCTTTAAATCATCATCATGGCCGGTTGCTCATGTCAGTATTTTAAGTGTTACATTTTTCTAGCCATCTTCCCCGTACACTTATTGATTACTGACATTCTTCGGTCTTTTCCTAAACATTTAGAGAACATCATGAAACAGACTTGGAAACCATTTGCAACCGACAGACTGTGTGGTGGGGAAAGAATGAAACACACAGAAACAAATGGAAAACAATCACGATTCTTCAACATGTTCCGTTAGGAAATTCCGAAAGACCATTCAGAGGTGTTTATTATAAATAATAAATGGGCGCTCTGTAAAGGTCTTGGAAGTGGCCGAGATGGGTTAACTGACTTACAGTTAAAACTTTACAGTCGAGCAAAAACACCCTGGCCAGATGTTGGAAATTCTTCCAGGAGTAAGTGGGATGGATGGGGAGTTCTGAAAAGCCAGCCTCATTGAGCCAGGAACTGGGGCCTCATTATAGAGCTCAATGTGATCCGTCATCTGCTTCTGACGCTATACTCTGCCTCTTAACAGTGGCTCTTTTGAAATCTTGAGGAAGTTAAATTTCTAATTCTTCACCTGACATGCTGGTTAATCTTAAGAAAAAGATAATTCCGCTGACAATATAGATTCTTTGCATGAAACGTTGAGATTCCCTTATGAAAGAAACTCTGCATATAAAGAAATAGGGGACTGTCCCTTGTTCCGTTTATTTATTTTGAAAACATGGAATGCTTAGGGGCACCTGGGTGGCTCAGTCGGTTAAGCATCTGACTTCGGCTCCAGTCACGATCTCACGGTCCGTGAGTTCAAGCCCCGTGTTTGAGCTCTGCGCTGACAGCTTGGAGCCTAGAATCTGCTTTGGATTCTGCGTCTCCCTCTCTCTCTCTCTGCCCCTCCCCTGCTGTGCTCTCTCTTTCTTTCTCTCAAAAATAAATAAACATTTTTAAAAAATGGAATGTTTCATGACCTGGGGTGTCACTTTTGTGTAGGGACCATGCTAATCTCTGTATCGTTCCAATTTTAGCAGGTGTGCTGTTCCTTGTTTTAAAAGGCAACAACTTAGCTATTATATACTTACATTTCTTTTTGCCCAAAGAAGGGGAAGAGTAAAAAATCATGTTGGCACAAGAACACATCCCACTAGCACTGGATTGTAATTCCCAAAGTCAGGATAAAAGACCTTCCTGGATTTGTCAGTGTGCATGTCTTCCTGCTCTTCATTACCTGCTTCATTATTCGTTATGAAGAGTATTGGGGGGATGGCTTAGAGTACACTAATCAATTAGATTTATTTGGGAGGCTACAGCTGACTCTATTCCAATCTTTTCCCGTAAACCAACTGGTATCTACATTTGGTTACTGGATCAATTCCACAAAACAGCGTGAGTTAAGCCAGGCAACGGTGATCAGAGTGGCAAATGGGAGCGTAAACGACACCCACTTACGAGTCAGCCATGTTGTGACAGATTTCTCCCTGAATGTGGATGTCGCAAAACCTCAGCTTATGACGAGCAGGCTCTCTGGCTTCCATCCTGGCTCGCCGTCTTCCTACATTCCTTTTTATGCCTCAGCTTTCTTACCAATAAAATAAGGAAGCCTCAGTACCTAGATTTGTAGGGCAGCTGAAGGAAAAGTAAATGTAAAAGCTCATGACATTTCCCGCTCCTGGAGGCTGGGGCCAGAGAGAAGGATGGCAGTGACACTCAGGTTGTTTCGGTCATGAACAGCAAGTCTTTTCTGAGCATACAGTGACTTCCAATTCCTCATCTCGTCTGCCACTGGCTTTAGAAACCAAATCCAAGTTTCCTTTTTTGGTAAAATATTAATGACTTCGATGTTTTAAAAGGGAAGTGGAGAAAAGCCCTTTGGAAACGTGCTGAAGGCAAGCAGAACCCTGGGCTGGCTGGCTTTCTCTTCTTCTTTCCATCCATTCTGCTTCCTCCTTTCTTCTCCCCTCTTTCTATTGTTCTTCTTTCTAGCTCTGAGGAATCACAGGTCCTCACAGTTTCATGTTATGGGAAAACACAATGGACTCATTCACCAACCAAGTAAGTTAGACAGAACGAAACATGCAACTAAAGCGCACGCGAGAGACAGGATTCCGGAGCAGAACTTACCCCACGCTTTAGGCTCCTGAAGCAGTGCATTTTGGGTTTGGAGGTCATGAACTCGTTGAAGCGATGGGAGAGGGGTTCCTTTTGCTGCTTGGGAGACTGGGGGCCGTTGGGAACAGCAGAGGGTGAGGAAGAGGCAGGGGGAGGAGGGGGAGGCTGATGGGGGGATGTTAAAAGGGACATAAGCTACATGTAAGAGATGGAGCAGTGACAGAGTAAAATCAGAAACAAGAAGATAAGACACAAAACAAAAATAAGCATCAAATAATATTTGAAATCCAAAGCAAGTAAAACACAAACGATTAAACATTTCGGCCATGGTCCAAAAGAAAACATGTAGAGTATGACGAAAATGGAAGGTTTAGTAAGTTAAAGCAACGGAAGAAGAGCAAGAGATCTCTGACCAGAAGCTCACTGCAGACTTGCCACATGCAAACTAGGGCTTCTGATTAGTTACGCTAAACCAGCTAAAGCCAGAAGGGGGATGGCTTCTAACCCGCCTCCGCTACCAGAGCTTGATGGGAGGAAATGAAGGACCTGAAATGCTAAGCTTGTCAAAACAGCAAGAGAGTCCTTTCCAAATTAAATAGCTAAGTTATCCTGGGGTGAAAGCGGGGGTGCTTAAAGCTGCCATGCGCCCACACGTCACACTATCAAAAGAAAACGCAAAATGATCGTGGATACACACAGGTTAACATGAGTTCGACACCAAGTTATTAACCCATGGAAACGATTCCAATGAGATCTGCTGAGAAATGGTTATCACAATTCTGCATGGTAGCCCCTCTCCCAGACGAGGCGACAGGGCGTCTGGGAGACTGAGCAGTGAAAGGCATGATGGGAAATGGCCGAGAGGTCAGTAGAGGTCAGTGTTAGTGTGGGTGACACGGTGCAAGTGGCAATGCATCTGAAATCAGACAAATGGCCATGGCAAAGTTTCCACCACCAAAGAGAGATCATGGTTTAAAATAAAACAGCACACTAGCTTTTTGTGTTTTTTTTTTTTTTTTTTTTTTTTTTTGCATTCTGCATTCTGTTGAAATTCTTTGCTTGTTTGTTTTTAAAGACTAACAGAGAAAGTCAAACATCTCCACACTTAAAATTCCTTTTACCCTGGGTCCAACCATCAGTACCTTATTTTTTTTGATGAATGGCCATAACTTTCCTTTGGATTTGCCACCGAACTTGAGCTCTGCTTTGCCTTCTCTGGAGTTCGAGAGGCTGTTATCTGACACAGTGCGCTTCATGGGCTGAGTGTAATCCTCAAATTCAATGTCCCCAGGAGGCTCAAACCCGGACTTATACGCCTCTATTACCAGCTGCGAATCCTGAAATGACACCCACCAAACATGAATGCATTTAAATACATGCAAACACTTTTTACATAATGAATTACAATCCTACAGATACTAGTGTAAAGAATTTTATGTATAGAACTATCTATAGAATTATACCTAGATTAATAACAGATCTCGCAGTAACACACTGCGATCTTTCTAGTAACACACATATATTTTTTGAACGTTTCTTTTGAGAGGAAAAGCACGTGCGAGCAGGGAAGGGGCAGAGAGAGAGGGTGAGAATCCCAAGCAGGCTCTGTGTGGTCCGTGCAGAGCGCGATGTGGGGATCAATCTCACGAATCTGAAGATCATGACCTGAGCAGAAATCAAGAGTCAGGCACTTGACCGACTGAGCCACCCAGGTGCCCCTCTAGTAATATTTTTTAAATAATTTTTATAGTTTTTATTTATTTTTGAAACAGAGAGAGACAGAGCGTGAGCGAGGGAAGGGCAGAGAGAGAGAGAAGGAGACAAAGATTCTGAAACAGGCTCTAGGCTCTGAGCTAGCTGTCAGCACAGAGCCCGATGTGGGGCTTGAATCCACAAACTGCAAGATCATAACCTGAGCTGAAGTCGGACGCTTAACTGACTGAGCCACCCAGGCACCCCAATATTTTTATAATTAGAAAGAATAAGTGCTATTCGTAAAGGCATATGTCTAATTGAGATGGGAAGATACGTTTAATAACCATTTGCCCACATACGGAGAAATAAAGAAATAAAGGAAATTAAGGAAGAATGACTTAGCTAAAAGCAGGGAAAAAAATGAACCACTGTTATGCAATTCCCTTGAAAAATACAGTAATATAAAACTCCGGTTCTCACCAGAAATTCCCAAGGTGATTCAGCATCCCCAAAGTCAAAGCAAAGAGGAGACGATCGTTCTAATTTCTCTGGTTCACTGTGGTTCAGGGATTTCAATTTATTGCATGATTTTTCCTTATGTACACATTTGTTCGTAGTCCCAAATGCAGGCTCCCTTCTGCTTTCCCTCTATTCTATCTACTCAGAACCTAGATGGTACCTGGTGAGAACCATGTGCAATAAATGTTTGCTGAATAAACCAATGAACTCTATGGTGTGAGCTCTGCTGGGAATTCTAGGTGCAACATCTGCTCAGGGTCAGGTGGTCCAGACACATGTGTGAGGCAATCACAACCGTAATGTCATAGACAGATAGATGAATACATAAAATATTACAGGGGGTGCCCGGTGGCTCTGTCGGGTAAGTGTCTGACTTCCACTCAAGTCATGATCTCAGTTTATGAGTTTGAGCCCTGTGTTGGGCTCTGTGCTGACAACTCGGAGCCTGGAGCCTGCTTCGGATTCTGTGTCTCCCTCTCTCTCTGTCCCTTCCCTGCTCACACTGTCTCGCTCTCTCTCAAAAATAAACAAACATTTAAAAAATTAAAAAAAAAAAACTATAGAGAAGATAATCTAGAAAGATCTCAATTCTTTTTTTTTTTTTTTTAAGTTTATTTATTTATTTTGAGAGAGAGAGAATATGGGACAGGGGCAGAGAGAGAATCCCAAGCAAGCTCTGTCCAATGCAGGACTGACTCAAACCCTCGAACTGTAAGATCATGACCTGAGCCAAAGTCAGACACTTAACTGACTGAGCAACCCAGGCGCCCCTGGAAAGATCTCAATTTCATTATTATTTTTTTTAAAAAATATTTTTTAATGCTTATTTTATTTTTGAGAGAGAGAGACAGCGTGAGACAGACAGTCAGACAGACAGAGCACAAGCAGGGGAGGGGCAGAGAGAGAGGGAGACACCAGAATCCGAAGCAGGCTCCAGGCTCTGAGCCGTCAGCATAGAGCCCGACACGGAGCTTGAACTCACAAACCAGGAGATCATGACCTGAGCAGAAGTCAGACGCTTAACCGACTGAGCCACCTGCCACCCAGGTGCCTCAAGATCTCAAATCTTTTTGTTTTTTTAATGTTTTCATTTATTTCTGAGAGAGAGAGAAAGAGAGACAGCACGAACAGGGGAGGGTCAGAAAGAGAGGGAGATACAGAATCTGAAACAGGCTCCAGGCTCTGGGCTAGCTGTCAGCACAGAGCCCGACATGGGGCTCGAACCCACGAACCGTGAGATCATGACCTGAGCCAAAGTCGGACGCTAAACCAACTGAGCCACCCAGGTGCCCCATCAAGATCTCAATTCTTAATATAAGCCCCCATTTTAGTATGTCATAAATATTTTAGCTACTACCTACTTTGTAGATGGCCCACAGATGGTCGATTATCTTCTAATAGCCAATCACCTTTCCTTCTTAGGAACAGGAACCCTGATTTTAAGCTGGGCACATCGCCACCAACCTAAAGGCTTCATTCCCCAGCCTTCTGTGCTGCAGAAGGTGACAACCTAAGTTTTTTTTTTTTAATTTTTCAAATGTTTGTTTATTATTGAAAGAGAGAGAGAATGAGTGGGGGAGGGGTGGAGAGAGGGAAACACAGAATCCGAAGCAGGCTTCGGCCTCTTGAGCTGTCAGCACAGAGCCCGACACAGGGCTTGACCTCATGGACCATGAGATCGTGAAGAGAGAGAGAATCTTAAGCAGGCTCCATGCGCAGCACAGAGTCTGATGCGGGGCTTGATCCAACGACCCTGGGATCATGACGTGAGCCGAAATCAAGAGTCAGACGGTCAACCAACTGAGCCACCCAGGTGCTCCGTGCTCCTCCTGGTTTAACACTCTAAATAAGGCTGTCATTTATTTTGTTACTGTCCATCTCCGTCTTCAGAATTGTGCCTGGCACTTGTGAGTGAGCGAGCAAATCCAGATGTGTGCCAGGAACGGTGCTGGTTTTAGAAATTGAAAAGAACAAGATGAAAAAAAAAATAATAAAAAAGAACAAGAACCCATTCGCTACGCGGCCCCAGGCAGGACTGCAGCAACTCTGCGTTCAAGGTCCTCCTCGGTCATGGTGAGCACACCAGACGTGGAAGGAAGTTGGTGTTCGGCGAACGTTCAGGGAGCAAGTTTATAAAAACACCGTCAACGTTTCTCAAAGGGAACATTTTGAAGGAGGATATGGCAGCGACTCAACACGAATAGGCGGAGAGAAAGAGCGTGAGATAAAAGGAAAAGTGCAGTGGGAACAGCAAAGGTCCAGGCAGCAAGACCACAAGTAACTGCTAAAGAGCCAAATCAGCTATAGAAGATAAACTTTAAACAAATCGCGAGAACAGCGCTGGGCCATTTGGCAGGAGGAAGGGAATGTGCAGGGAAAGACGATCTATGTGGATTAAGAACTGTCTCACCCTTGAATTCTCAAAAAAAAAAAAAAAGAAAAAGAAAAATGAAACATTTATTCAAGGAACACAGAAGGAGGTTGAGGGAGTAAGCCACGCAGATATCCAGGGGAAGAACATTCCAGGCAGAGGGAATGGAAAGGTAAGAGCCTATTTGGAGCTTTCGAGGAATACAGCATTGGGGAGAATAGAGAATAGGTGACAGCGGACGGATAAATGGGGAGGGAGGGTGCTCTAGACAGTTCAGGACTTTGAGGCCCCAGTGGCTTTGATTTGTCCTGTGACACAGAAGCCCACTGAGGGCTCTGAGCAGAGGACACACGTGACCTGGCTTATTGTTAAAAAACAAACAAACAAAAAAACCCCCTCTGGTCTCTGTGTTAAGAATGAACGGGGGTGGGGAGGACACAGGTGGGGAGACTGGTTAGACCTCTCCTGCAGCCATCCAGGCTCCTCCTGCACAATCCAAGGTCATGGAGAGCTTGGATCAGGAGAGTAACGACAGAGGTGGTGAGAGGGTGTGAGTTCTGAAGGGAAAGCCAACTGGATTGACTGATAAATTGAAGCAGGTGTCAGAATACAGGGGGAGAGGGAGCACATCAAAGGTGACTCCAAGATGCAAGCCACCAGAAAGATGGAAATGCCATAATGGGGACAGTGTAGACTGGGAAGCGTGGGTTTGGCGAGACAGGTCTGGAGCTCCGTTCTGGATATGCTAAGCTTGAGGAACATCCAAGCAGAGAAGCCACTAGGCAGCTGAAGGAATGGAAGGGAGAGGTCCAGGCTGGGAACGTAACATGTGTGATTCACACTTGAGATTGGACTTAATGCTTCCAGAGTCTACGGATCCCTCCAAGGAGTCAATGGGGAGGGTATAGAGACCCAAGATCAAAGCCCAAGGGTACTCCCACGATCAATGGTAAGAAGAAAGAAAATAAGAACTGGCAAAGGAGACTGAGGCAGTGAGGAAGATAAAACCCATCACAGCACGGTTTCCTAGGAATGGAGTAAAGGAAGAGCAGGTAGGGTGGTGGTCGACTGGGGGCCCGGTGCCACTAATACTTCAGGTACTTGAATAAGAACATGAATGAAGACCTAGAAAAGACCCTTGGATTTAGCAACATAAAGGTCATAGGTGAGAAAGAATTCTCAGTGATATAATGAAAAACAAGGATCCCATAGTGGGAGAAATATCCTATAAATCCAGGGGGAGAGTCATAATTTCCCAGATAAAACTGATAAAAGGAAACCATCATTCAGACTTGATCTGATAAAGCTGTGAGATTTCAAGGAAAAAGAAATTTCCAAGCTTCTAATATAAGAAATTAAAACCAGGCTTGTTTCAGATTTTAATCAATGCCAGAAGTAATGAAGCTAAGGGAAAAAGTCAAGGTTCAATAGAACTGACCCTCCTGTTTTTTCTTTTTTTCAATGTTTATTATTTTTGAGAGAGAGAGAGAGAAAACGGACAGGCGGGGGAGGGGCAGAGAAAGAGGGAGACACAGAATCCGAAGCAGGCTTCAGGCTCCTAGCTGTCAGCACAGAGCCCAACTCCGGGCTGGAAATCATGAACTGTGAGATCATGACCAGAGCCAAAGTCAGAAGCGTAACTGATGAGCCACTCAGGCGGCCCATTACTACTTACCTTTAAAAGGTCCCTCCCCACCGTAATTAATTGGTGACTGTTGACATTTTAAATAGGGAGATTAGGGAAAGCCTCGCTGAGACTTGATTTTCCTCTATGAGCCAGGCATCAATGAGCCTGGAAATTTCAATGACTTTTACCAAAACTGAGGATACAGGGATGTACGAAATCGAGAAAGCAATGGCGAGAAGGAAATGGAGCAGGCACTCATGGAAAAACTCATGGATGCAAGACCAGTCACATGTCTGGTCTAAACCAAGGCACATTTTCAGCAAAAGGACTGCCTCTCTCTTGAGATGCTTAAAGGAGATAAAGAAAATCATAATCAAATAAAGAAACTTGCAGCCTAAGGCAAGGATGGTTTGATCACCTGTAAACCCATCTTGGCATAACTGTCTATAATGGTGAAGGAAATATCATTAATTCAGAAGCATCAGTAATACCCGCCCCCCTCAAGTTAGCTGAAATCACCGAAGAAGAGGGCTCTTGGCAAATAGATGTTAATTAAATAGAGATCAAGGAATACTAAAATGAAAAAAAGATGCCTGCTACTGGACCTATTCCTCCTATAAACACTTACCATTGAACACATTTGGAAATATTTGTGCACACTGGATTCACAATAGTTTTTTTTGTTTTTTGTTTTTACAAAGAAATGTTAATACACATGAAATATTCTTAGAGCAATGAAGAATCTACATGCTAACATATGTTCATACAGAAAAGACAACTTTGATCCCTTGCCTGGACTCATTTTAAAACACCTATGACAGGGAAGACTTACGACATTGCTGTTTGTGAAATATTTGGTTCTGCAAATTAATAAATGTTTTTCAAGGCCTATGCTGGTGTTCTTGTTGATATTTTTTTATTGAGGGAAAATAGGTTTCCAGGAAAGGAATCCAAATGAATGACACTGGCCCAAAGCAGTGTTCTCAGACGGAGACAGTACTGCCCTGGAGGGGACACTTGGCAATGTCCAGAGACATTTTCCACCATTACAGCTTGGGAAGGGGTGCTACAGATCCAGTGGGTTCAAGCTAGGGATGTTGCTAAACACCCTTTTGTGCTCATGATGGGCCCCGACAATAAAAAAATTACCTGGCCTGAAATGTCAGTAGTGCCCTAACAAACCAGATCCCAATTTGGGGGGTTACTCAGCCAACCGACAAGAAAACCATTTAATTCTGCAATGTCTCACACATCTGTGTCTCCCCCAAGAGAAATTTGAGAGCTGGATCCAAAACCCCGAGAGGATGAAGAGAACACTCTAATGCAGTGTTACGACTGCTCAAAGTCCTGCTGACTACTGCAAGCAACTCCCCATCGCAGATGATCTGGTGAGGTTACCGGTGACAGTGGCAAAGAAATAATGGAACCAGAGATACTTGGTTGTAAGTGAAGTCCGAGCTATGATACTTACATTCTTCTGATCGATCGATTCGGCCGCCTTTACTATTTCATCCAAGCATTTCCCAATGATTGGAATCACTTGCCGATCGACCTCTGCGTAGGTCTTCATTGATTCCCCAATCCTCACTATCCTCCTTTCCTCCATCTCCTGTATTTTCTGCAACATCAGATTGTAGGAAATTAATGTAGTCCACTATTACTTACGGAAGCTGTCATCAGTGGCACTGTTAACCTCTAGCAAATAGTCTAGGAGGGAAATAGGCATATCAATAGGGTTAGAGCTAGACCATTGTTAGGATTCTTGCCTCCACATTCGCCAGCTGTACACATACTTTATGAATCCTTAGGCCACCCAAATGTATACGGTAAAACCGTGGATCGCGAGTAACTTGCTCTGCGCATGTTCCGCAAGATGAGCAAACATGCCTAATAAATTTTAACTTGGTAAATGAGCGATGCCTGGCAATAGGAGTAGTATGTGACGCCGAACGTCACATGATCACAACTGAGCCAATGGTTCTTAAAATTCACTTTGATATATGAGCGCTCTGGATTATAAGCATGCTTCCAGAACGAATTATGCTTGCAACCTAAGGTTTTATTGTACTTTTTAGGATTCCATTCCAATTTCAGAGGGAAGCCCAAACTCAAGTGCTTTTATCATTAATGCCCTTTGGCAATACATTTCAAACATCTCTTCTGCCTTTGATCCCCTACTTTACTCTTTACCAAAAGCCTGGCGTTAACTGCCTCAACCCAACACAGGCTGAGATGTAACTAGCGTATCTTCCTTCTATAAGCTGGAGCTCCTTGTTTGCTGAGTGTGTAGACATTAAGAGGCAAATGCTTGTTATTTCCCCTACAACTGGACAGAGTTGTAAAAGATTCCCAAATCGGGAGAACATGTATACATCTTTCTTCGTACCATCTCTGACACCTAAAAGTATCCCAAAGGAAAACAATCCAAAGAAAAGTTCTGTCCTTTGTTCAAATCCTATAACCTTAGCAGTTGCGCTAGGACTCCCAAAGTTAAGATGGCATTTTATAACCAGAATTGTCCTTTCAGCAAAAAAGGGCACTAAGCTACGAGTCGTAAATTCTAAAACTGGCCAAGAAAGGCTGCAGGTGTCAATGAAGGACCTCTGGGAAGGCCACTGATTAACCTTGAGGTTAATTATCTATTTCACCTTAGGGCCAGTCAAGCCTTGGTCTGGATGCTTTAAAAAATGGCTTTAGTTTGAGGAAATGTAGAATTCTATACAAATACTCAGAATATAAGCGCAGCCATCACGATTCCAAAGCAACATGGTTCTAAAAGCAAAGCCAGCTTGGGAGGTCGGAGTCACTTACTTGAAATATGTTGGGGATGTGAGTGTGGTAGTATTCGTGCTGCTCATGGTTGAATTTCTGGAGGATTGATGAGTAATCGGCTCTGCTGTCCTCGGCCATTTGGTGACGTACCTGAGCTTGCTGGCGCGCCTGGGGGCCCAGAAATGAGAACACCCCCATGTTTAGTAAATACACTAAAGGGCCTAGGATTGAAAACTGGAGGGGTCTGCAGTCAAACTGACCTCAAATGTGTTACATGCAGCAGGTGTTATTTTCTAGAAACTGCTAGAATTTGAATTTAGCTTAGGTAAGGATGTGTACCCTACTTTCTTACACCCCCTACCATTCTCTATTGTCTTAACCTGGCATTACTTTCTAGTTCAACACAAGTTCCACTTTTCTGTGTTGTCTGTACTTGGCCCAGTTTACATATTTATGTTACCTAGATGGCCCTTGTGGGAACCTGTGCTTCTATATATATCCATATATATAGATAGATATACATTTTTTTCTTTTGAGGAGGGGATGGGGGAATCCATAATTTTTTTATTCACGTCTCAGTGGAGTTCATGAATTAAAAAGGCATATGAACCACTGAGCTATATGGACCTTTCTAAAACTCACCACCATGATGATGATTTTTATTAAAAAAAAAACTTTTTAAGTAATGTCTACACCCAACACGAGGCTTGAACTCACAACCCAGAGATCAAGACTCACGTGCTTCACTAACTGAGCCATGCAAGTGCCCAGATGTTTACTTTTAGTATATAGTTTAAAGTATACAGTTTTAGTGGCACCTGGGTGGCTCAGTCAGTTGAGCGTCCGGCTTCGGCTCAGGTCATGATCTCACAGTCTGTGAGTTCGAGCCCCGCATCGGGTTCTGTGCTGACAGTTCGACAGAGCCTGGAGCCTGCTTCGGATTCTGTGTCTCCCTCTCTCTCTCTCTCTGCCCCTCCCCTACTCACACTCTGTCTCTCTCTTTCAAAAATAAACATTAAAAAAATTTTTTTTTAAAAAGTATACAGTTTAAAGAAGCAGTAAATGTGGCACCCTCTTTGTGTTTTTTGTTTTTGTCTGTCCATGTATGCATTGTTTTGTATTTTACTGCATTGATGTTCTCCTCAATAATCAATAATAAAATTCATACATTTGTTTCTTCTTTTAAAAAATTTTTTAATGTTTATTTTATTTTATTTCTAAGTCATGGTTTGGTTAATCACAGACCTACAAGAAAGGGGGAATCATTGACGAATTGCAGAATCGATATTATTATAATTATTATTTTAAAGCTCAAACAAGAATGTAAACTGGGAAGTCATCCACTGAAATACCAGTGATGGTTACGCCCTGGATTCCCATCTTGGATTCATCTAGCACTTTCAAGAGATCTTGAGCCAAATGACCTCAGCCTGAAGTTCACACAGGGCAAGCGCCCCCTGTTGCCACACGGAGAGGTGGCTTGGCCTGCAGGTGACTTGCCCAACTACTACCAGGGGCCACAAACACACCAGGAAGAGGGCCCTGTTCCGACAAAACCCACGTAACATTCTGGTCTGTGTTCTATTTTGCTTGGTGTCACTAAACCCAACAGTCTTTCAAAAGGACAAAAAAGAACAGACTCGTTCACACGTAAAAACACTGCCCCACTTTCTGTCTGATGGTTGGTACCACCTACTACCAGACGTGTGGCATCGAGCTGTTCTTTTTGGCTTCCTGCCTCTGTGGTTTGAAGGCTTCACCTGATTTTTCACTTCCTTGACACATTTTACTCATCTGCGTGCTGGTGAAAGCCCAAGGTGGTCATTCAGAGCTTGCTTCCTTTATTTTCTTCTCAAACGAAGGTTAACGATATGAGTATTTCCAAACTGGTTTCCCTATTCCCTGGGGCTTCTTAGTTTCTCAAGGCTTTTAGGGATCTCAAAACCATTTCATCCACTTCTCAAGTTCCCTTGGTTACTTCGACTGCCATATTCTTCCCCTTCGTCGGCAGCCTGTTAACTCCCTTCTGGACCACAGGCTCTGGCTTCTGCTTCTACCGTGTCCACTAGTAAATATTTTAATCTGGTCCCCAAAATGGTAAGATCCCAGCCCCCTTCAAAAATCCATGCCCTTCCAATAGACACTAGCCCTCCTCTGTTTAAATAATAGCTTTTCCACCTACATGCATCCCATCTGTCCCCAGAATGCTTCCAACACAAAAATCCCTTTAACTCTTTCAATTTCCTACGGGTTTTATCATTTATCACTTTGTTGTGAATACGGGGAGGGGGAGAAAAACCCAAGGAAATTCCCAGGCAGGCCTCAAACTTCTAAAAATTTTGCTATTTCATTTACATACCTTCGTCACAAAAATTCAAGCCGGAGGCGCGGGGGTGGGGGGTGTTTCTTCATGTCCTTTATAAACAAGATGGGGTCCCCTTATTTATTTTGGAGAAGTTATTCTAACTTGGTGAATTTTTAATTTTTCTTAATGTTTATTTATTAATTTTGAGAGAGGGAGGGAGAGAGAGCATGAGCAGGGGAGGGGCAGAGAGAGAAAGGGGGGGAGAGAGACTCCTAAGCAGGCTCCGCACTGTCAGCGCGGAGCCCGTCACTGGGCTTGAACCCACGAACTGTGAGATCATGACCTGAGCTGACACCAAGAGTTGGATGCTTAACCGAGTGAGGCCCCCCAGGAGCCCCTGGTGAAGTTTTAAAATAGCTTGTGTTCTGAACCAGAGAGCAGAATGTCGTCTATGCACGAATAGGTATGTACGTACGTACATGGGCACACACACAAGCAGAATCAGTCCTGACAATAAACCCATCACGCCAACCACGAAACGTTTTACTCATGAGAACAGGGGCGCCCTGTCGCAGGGACCCCACCACCATGTGGTTGGAAGGGACAGTAATGCTTGTCTTCTCAGTTCCCCCAAATCCCCAAGAAGAGTGTGTGCCCTTGGGTTATACAATTGCCTTCATAAGCATGTTAACTCATGAAGTTTCATGATGCCCTTTACACGCTTTATCTGCGGTACGCCTGAAACATAACCCCGGACCACTAGATGGGAACCTTGGGAGAAGGGGAAATCAGGAATCACACGTATAAAACCCCAGCCCGGAAGGCTACCTGAGTAGCAGAAAACAAACCAGACAAACATGCATTAGAGGGAGTGGGTCTACCTTTTATGTTAAATAAACATGGTGTCTCTGGGAGTTTTTCTCCCTCCCTCCCTTCCTTCGTTTCAAATTTCTTTATTTTGAGAGGGATGGGAGGGACAGCGGGCGGGGGGGGGGGGGCGGGGATCGCAAGCAGCCTCCGTGATGTCAGTGCAGAGCCCGACACCGGGCTCGAACCCACCACTGTGGGATCGTGACCTGAGCTGAGCTCAAGAGTCAGACGCTCAATCGACTGAGCCACCCAGGCGCCCCTGGGACCTTTTTTTTTTTTATTAAAAAATTTTTTTTAATGTTTTATTTATTTCTGATACAGAGAGAGAGACAGCATGAGCAGGGGAGGGTCAAGAGAGAGGGAGACACAGAATCTGAAACAGGCTCCAGGCTCTGAGGTGGCTGTCAGCACAGAGCCTGACGCGGGGCTCGAACTCACGAACCGTGAGATCATGACCTGAGCCAAAGTCGGTCGCTTAACCGACTGAGCTACCCGGGCGCCCCTGGGAGTTTTTCTTGAATGCAAAAACATGGACAGAAGCCTGCAAAGTCTATGCATTCCTACACGGTCTTTGTAGGAATTTCCCTACAGTCTCTCTCCCTTTCTCCCTCCCCCCTCCTTCACTAAAAGGACAGAGAAGCACTTAAAAGCAGTAAAATACAGTCATACATCAACTTCTGCAAGACTACAGCAGGAACACAGAATAGTCTTCTTCTCAAACCCAGCATCCAGCTGCTTTGAATTAATTCCCACTTTTGAATCCCAGGCCCGGGAATGTGCCATTGTTCTGACCAAGTTTTACTACGGAAAAGTCTATTGATTAGCAAGCTGTTAGGTTTTGTTAGCAACCCAACTTAAGAGGCCTTCTCTAAAACTAGGGTCGGGTCAGTCACTCGTGATTACATATTTATGACATTTAAAAAAGTATCTTTAAAAACGCTTTCAAAATCTTATCTGGAGTCCCCGATTAAGGAGCTAGAGAGTTTAGAGTGTATCTCTTCGTCTCAGGCTAAATGAAGATCAGAAGCATCCTTATTTCTATCTCTGTTTGAGTCAGTCTAAAAATAGCGACTATTATCTTAAAGAGGTACTTCCTTCCCAAACCAGACCGTAAGCTGTATCTTGCAATTCAATTAAAATTCTCATTCTAAGAATATAAGACAATGCCTCTTATAGCAACATGGCCGTAGGGCAGAAGCTTAGAGGATTTTTTTGGTGAGTGTGAGGCAGTCACAGAATTTAGAGAAAATATTCTAAAAAAGTCCAGAATGACCACAAGTGCCCGAGGCTGTAAATCACAGACATCTTTGAATAAGATCTAGATCACTTTCACTGTCAATCAGAAAGGCCGAATTTAAACTTGAGAATTTCTTTGACCAGCCCTTGGGAATCTCCCCAAATAAATCCGCACTGGCCTAAGTCTGTACTGCTTGAGCATGACTTCATGGCCCCTCTACTGTCCCATGGAAGTACAGCTGGGTTGCCTAAAAGGTCAGAGTTGGAGTTTCTAAATAAAGAAAAAACAGTATTTTAGAAACTGAACTGCAATCCGATGCTTCTAAATCCTAATGGATTTAAAGATAAAAATACTGTAATCCATTTAGTTAGTTAAATTTAGACTATTAGCAGGGGCCAAAATGTCAAGCTACTTGCTGTTCAGTTGAGTGTTATTTTCAATATTTCAGATACTAAGGAAGAGAATGACACTTCTGAGGGTGTCACGAGCAGGGAATATAGTGTGTAGTAAGAAACTCTTATAGCAACGTGGCCTTCACATGGGAAACGTGGTGGATCTGCTTAACAGATTATACCCGCTCGTCTTTATCAGCTGCTCATGGCTTTTGACCTTTTCGCAAAAATGGGCAAAATATGCACTCATTCCATTTATATAGACGTATTCATTTTTTGATAAAAAATTAAATGACCTCAGACCTTCCAGACCTCCAGGCACTGCTGGTCCTTAAGTGAGAAACCATTTACTGCAGCATCTTTT